ATCTTTATGCATTCCTTAGGTGACGTTTGGCATCTTGGCTCTGAGGATCTGGAGTCTCTGCCTGGGTCCCTGCTCTGCAGGATCTGGAGGATCTGGAGTCTCTGGGGCCCTTGGGGGTCCACAGTGTCACTTGCTGCACTCTTTCTTCCTATCTTTATGCATTCCTTAGGTGACTTTTGGCATCTTGGCTCTGAAGATCTGAAGTCTCTGCAGGTTCTGGGTCCCTGCTATCTTTATGCATTCCTTAGGTCAGTCTCTGGGGCCCTTGGGGGTCCACAGTGTCACTTGCTGCAAGGATCTGGGGTCTCTGCAGGTTCTGGGTCCCTGCGCTGCAGGATCTGGAGTCTCTGGGGCCCAGTGTCACTTGCTGCACTCTTTCTTCCTATCTTTATGCATTCCTTAGGTGACGTTTGGCATCTTGGCTCTGAGGATCTGGAGTCTCTGCAGGTTCTGGGTCCCTGCTATCTTTATGCATTCCTTTGGTGACGTTTGGCATCTTGGCTCTGAGGATCTGGAGTCTCTGCAGGTTCTGGGTCCCTGCTCTGCAGGATCTCGAGGATCTGCAGTCTCTGGGGCCCTTGGTCCACTTTCTGCACTCTTTCTTTCTTGCCCTATCTTTACATTCCTTTGGTGACGTTTGGCACTTGCTCTGAGGCATCTGGAGTCTCTGCAGTTCTGGGTCCCCAAACATGCTAAATCTTTCCTGCATTCTTGGTCAGATCCTCTGGGGCCCTTGGGTGTCCACAGTGTCACTTGCTGCAGGATCTGGGGTCCTCTGCCAGTTCTTGTCCACCTGTCTGCAGATCTGGAGGATCTGGAGTCCTCTGGGGCCCCAGTGTCACTTGCTGCCACTCTTTCTTCCTATCTTTAATGCATATCCTTAGGGCAGTCCTCTGGGGCCCCTTGGGGGTCCCACAGTGTCACTTGCTGCAAGAATCTGGGTCTCTGCATGTTCTGGGTCCCCTGCTTTGCAGGATCTGCGAGGATCTGGAGTCTCTGGGGCCCAGTGTCACTGCTGCTCTTTCTTTCTTTTTCTTCCTATCTTTATGCTTTCCTTGGGTGACGTTTGGCATCTTGGCTCTGAGGATCTGGAGTCTCTGCAGGTTCTTGGTCCCTGCTATCTTTATGCATTCCTTAGGTGACGTTTGGCATCTTGGCTCTGAGGATCTGGAGTCTCTGCCTGGGTCCCTGCTCTGCAGGATCTGGAGGATCTGGAGTCTCTGGGGCCCTTGGGGGCCCACAGTCTCACTCGCTGCGCTCTTTCTTCCTATCTTTCTGCTTTCCTTAGGTGACGTTTGGCATCTTGGCTCTGAAGATCTGGAGTCTCTGCAGGTTCTGGGTCCCTGCTATCTTTCTGCATTCCTTAGGTCAGTCTCTGGGGCCCTTGGGGGTCCACAGTGTCACTTGCTGCAAGGATCTGGGGTCTCTGCAGGTTCTGGGTCCCTGCTCTGCAGGATCTGGGGGATCTGGAGTCTCTGGGGCCCAGTGTCACTTGCTGCACTCTTTCTTCCTATCTTTATGCATTCCTTAGGTGACGTTTGGCATCTTGGCTCTGAGGATCTGGAGTCTCTGCAGGTTCTGGGTCCCTGCTATCTTTATGCATTCCTTAGGTGACGTTTGGCATCTTGGCTCTGAGGATCTGGAGTCTCTGTCTGGGTCCCTGCTCTGCAGGATCTGAAGGATCTGGAATCTCTGGGGCCCAGTGTCACTTGCTGCACTCTTTCTTCCTATCTTTATGCATTCCTTTGGTGACGTTTGGCATCTTGGCTCTGAGGATCTGGAGTCTCTGCAGGTTCTGGGTCCCTGCTATCTTTCTGCATTCCTTAGGTCAGTCTCTGGGGCCCTTGGGGGTCCACAGTGTCACTTGCTGCAAGGATCTGGGGTCTCTGCAGGTTCTGGGTCCCTGCTCTGCAGGATCTGGAGGATCTGGAGTCTCTGGGGCCCAGTGTCACTTGCTGCACTCTTTCTTCCTATCTTTATGCATTCCTTAGGGCAGTCTCTGGGGCCCTTGGGGGTCCACAGTGTCACTTGCTGCAAGGATCTGGCAGGGTCTCTGACAGGTTCTGGGTCCCTGCTCTGCAGGATCTGGAGGATTCTGGAGTCTCTGGGGCCAGTTTGTCAAGTGCTGGCACTCTTTCTTCCTACTCTTATGCATTCCTTAGGTGACGTTGCATCTTGGCTCTGAGGATCTGGGTCTCTGCAGGTTCTGGGTCCCTGCTTATCTATGAATGCCCTAGGTGACGTTTGGCATCTGGGCTCTGAGGACTGGAGTCTCTGCCTGCGGCCATGACTCGCAGGATCTGGAGGATCTGGAGTCTCTGGGGCCCAGTGTCACTTGCTGCACTCTTTCTTCCTATCTCTTTATGCATTCCTTAGGTGACGTTTGGCATCTTGGCTGTGAGGATCTGGAGTCTCTGCAGGTTCTGGGTCCCTGCTATCTTTATGCATTCCTTAGGTGACGTTTGGCATCTTGGCTCTGAGGATCTGGAGTCTCTGCCTGGGTCTCTGCTCTGCAGGATCTGGAGGATCTGGAGTCTCTGGGGCCCTTGGGGGTCCACAGTGTCACTTGCTGCACTCTTTGCAGGTTCTGGGTCCCTGCTATCTTTTATGCATTCCTTAGGTGACGTTTGGCATCTTGGCTCTGAGGATCTGGAGTCTCTGCCTGGGTCCCTGCTCTGCAGGATCTGCTCTGCAGGATCTGGAGGATCTGGAGTCTCTGGGGCCCAGTGTCACTTGCTGCATTCTTTCTTCCTATCTTTATGCATTCCTTAGGTGACGTTTGGCATCTTGGCTCTGAGGATCTGGAGTCTCTGCATGTTCTGGGTCCCTGCTATCTTTATGCATTCCTTAGGTGACGTTTGGCATCTTGGCTCTGAGGATCTGGAGTCTCTGCCTGGGTCCCTGCTCTGCAGGATCTGCTCTGCAGGATCTGCTCTGCAGGATCTGGAGGATCTCTGCAGTCTCTGGGGCCCTTGGGGGTCCACAGTGTCACTTGCTGCACTCTTTCTTCCTATCTTTATGCATTCCTTAGGTGACGTTTGGCATCTTGGCTCTGAGGATCTGGAGTCTCTGCAGGTTCTGGGTCCCTGCTCTGTCTCACTCGCTGCACTCTTTCTTCCTATCTTTATGCTTTCCTTGGGTGACGTGTGGCATCTTGGCTCTGAGGATCTGGAGTCTCTGCAGGTTCTGGGTCCCTGCTATCTTTATGCATTCCTTAGGTGACGTTTGGCATCTTGGCTCTGAGGATCTGGAGTCTCTGTCTGGGTCCCTGCTCTGCAGGATCTGGAGGATCTGGAGTCTCTGGGGCCCAGTGTCACTTGCTGCACTCTTTCTTCCTATCTTTATGCATTCCTTAGGTGACGTTTGGCATCTTGGCTCTGAGGATCTGGAGTCTCTGCCTGGGTCCCTGCTCTGCAGGATCTGCTCTGCAGGATCTGGAGGATCTCTGCAGTCTCTGGGGCCCTTGGGGGTCCACAGTGTCACTTGCTGCACTTTTTCTTCCTATCTTTATGCATTCCTTAGGTGACGTTTGGCATCTTGGCTCTGAGGATCTGGAGTCTCTGCAGGTTCTGGGTCCCTGCTCTGTCTCACTCGCTGCACTCTTTCTTCCTATCTTTATGCTTTCCTTGGGTGACGTTTGGCATCTTGGCTCTGAGGATCTGGAGTCTCTGCAGGTTCTGGGTCCCTGCTCTGCCTATCTTTATGGATTCCTTAGGTGACGTTTGTTACTTTACCATCCTGTTTTTACTTTACTACCCATTCTTTCCGTCCGCATTGGTTTCCACTGGCATCTTTGTGGCTGCTTTGTATTCTTCCTGTCGCCTTTGCTGATGTCACCAGTGTGCCACAGGCCGGGCACGGGTGCTCGTGTTTGGGGCTGGAGATCCTGGCTCCGTTCTCCACGCGAAATTGATGGCCACACACAGCTCTATGATCGATACACCCTGTTGCAAGCGGGCTCTCTATGGTGCCCTCACAAAATGGACACCGGTAGGTATGCTTGACACTGTTCGGGACCGCTCCCCTGATTGCGCCGTTGTGCACCCGAAATTGATGGCCACACATCCATCCAAAACATGTCAATCAACTTTGTTTCCAATTTCATCAGCTGTGGAATCACTGTCACCTGCCACCGGTTCGGTGGTTTCCTTTCATCCTGGCCTTCTTGGTTATTTGCTGCGAGAGTGTTTTTCAGAGGCAGCAACGTTTCGTTAACAGCAACGACCAAAATAAATGCTGTTTCAGACCAACCCCACAAAAGGGAGCACCAGGAGGGCATAAGTATGAGAACCACTCATGGCAATGTCGACCACTCAAGCTACCTTACACCTCCATGCATCTCTGCGTAGAAATCCGCCGAACCCGGGAGACCACGCTGGGGCCTACTACTACTACTACTACTCTACTACTACTACTACTACTACAACTACTACTACTCCTGCTGCTATTACTACTACTACTACTACTACTACTACTAGTACTACTACTACTACAGCTACTACTACTACTACTACTCCTACTCCTACTACTACTACTACTACTACTACTCCTACTCCTACTGCTACTACTACTACTACTGCCACTGCTAGTACTACTACTACTACTACGACTACGACTGCGACTGCTACGACTACTACTGCTACTACTCCTGCTACTACTCCTACTACTACTACTACTACAACTACTACTACTCCTGCTGCTACTACTACTACTACAGCTACTACTACTACTACTACTCCTCCTCCTACTACTACTACTACTCCTACTCCTACTCCTACAACTACTACTCCTACTACTACTCCTAACTTGCTATTCCCATCAATGCGAGGACACAAACTGCCGTTCCTGATGTTTGATTCCGGGGTCGGCGGCAGGGGCGGCAGCCCTTAAATATATATAACTTTATATAACTTTATATAACTTTATAAAACTTTATATAACTCTCTGTAGTCAAAAACATGTGACGATTTGATGAGATTGGCAAAATGGGAGCAAGGTCTTCCTCCAAAGGCATCCGCCACAGCTTCTCCCCAGTGGCTTTTGAGGATGCGTCCAGACCTGTGGCCAGAAATGATTTCAATTTTAAGTCTCAACCATCCAACAATTTCGGGGGAAGTGGATCATCTAATTTGGGGTGATATTAGCTGCCTGCTGTCCATTTTTTGACCGACGCTCAGGGCAAGCGGCGGGTGAATTTTTGCGGCAGATTTGAAAAAACAACATCCGTTGACTCTGAATCCTCCTGCAAAGGCTGCAAATAGAGACCAACACTCGAAATAAATGAAGCCAACAGGCTGGGAATATAGAATTTCTGATAAATAGAGCTTTTTTCCATTTTTTTGCCACGGAATTGAACTGAACGCCTTTTGCAATTGCTTCCCCAAGCTCTGCACTTGCGGCTAGCTCGTCAGAGTTACTCCACATGCCTCAGCTACCAGAATCCCAGCAAGCAAACCGTGGAGAGACCACTGGGGCTTTCACAAGAACTGTAGGCCAAACAACTGGATTCAATTTGTGACGCCAATTTGCAGATTTCAAGCTTGCAAGTCGACAGCGGCTATCAGTCATCTGGTATCATCAGACCCTGAAAAATGGTGCAAGTCCCAGCCTGTGATGTCCTTTCCCAGTGCCACCATGCACGCGCCAGTCAAAGTCGCGATGTCTACGACCTCTTGCAGGCTGGAAAAGAACAGTAATTTAATATAAGTCGTCTGTGAAAATGGATATATTAAAAAAAAGATCCAGCGAACATGCAGTGGCAAAAGCGACAACACGTCCATGAGTCCCATTTGCTACAAAATTATGGACACACGAAACGGGCTTTTACAATCTTTCGTTTTTGTTGGAAACTTTGAAATACGTATATATTTCCACACTAATCACAAATCCATTGTAAATCCATGTTCCTCGTTTCAACATCAGCCATGGCAGCCATGGTTTGGGGCGTTTTTTTTGCGTTTCCGGCAGCTCGGGGCGGCCCCAACATGCCCCGATCGTCGCCTCTGTGACACCTTGCTGCTGGCAGTACAGGAGAGCATCAGCCAAGGTGAGGCGACCCTCTGCATCCGTGTTGTTCACCTGTCACCATTCACCAGGTCGAAGCTGAAGCGAAGCTGAAGCGAAGCCAGGCATTTTTCATTCTCCAGGTGCATATGGATCAAACCATCCCAGCATATCCCAGCAGCTCGCAAAATGCGATGTGACAAGATGCGAAAACTTTTTCTCAACTCATTTCGACCTCCGAATGGCATTTTGCCAAGCGTTGCAAATTGCATGGACATCCCACTGATAGTCCGGGAGCACATCTTCGATGAAATAAACCTGGAGTGGAAGCATTTTTCTGTTGAAGCTTAGAATGTGGAGTGTCAGCTTTGTCAGCCATGGTCTTGGACAGCGCAGCCTTTCGAAAAAATTGACCTCTTGCCATTCCCTGTGTTTTTTGCCAAGGGGCATAAAAAATGCACCAGCTGGATGCAAAGAGAGCCCAGGACAGTGTTGCAAGCAGAGCCATCACTGCTGACTCGTGCCGTGAAGATGAAGAAATGGCCTCCAAGGATGCGTGCACTAAATGCATCTGGAATAATACACACCATGCCACGCTGTTGAGACATGCAATGCTCAAAACGAGAGATTTCGAGAAGTGTGAATCATGTGTTTCCCATTAAAATATAAACATATATAAACCATTATAAATTATAAACCATCCATTTTGGGGCACCCGCATTTATGGAAACCCCCCACTTTTTTCACAAGATCTGCAGCTCCGTCTCCTGGCCTTGGTTCGCTCCAGGCCATTCACACCATGCACCGGCACCAGCGCCTGACGCTGAAATCATCTGAATATAGAAGCACCATTCAAACCCCACATAAACATCATGAATCATAAACCATCTCTAACCATCTCTATACCATATCTAACCATCTCTAACCTGGTTGTCTGTCGACGTTCATGCCTGCAGCACCAGGGAGTTTAGGACCAAGAGAAATTCCAGGGCCACAGCATTCAAGATAAGATCTCCCATGTCACCTGATGGAGCAAGTGAAGGAGCAGAAGTTTGTGCATAAAAGGTCCACAGTTCGTGCTGAATTTTTGACTGTCCCAATCCGGCAAAGAGACTAGTTGAAAGCAGCCAGCGACATCCCAAGAAGAGTATCACAAAGTCCAGCACCAAACCTGAAAAAAAGAGCGTTCTGGTGCAGTTGCTGGCAACCCTTCCTCAACCTTCACACATCTTTTGCATTCTTTTGCCATGCTTGTCCGAGAGGCGAGGTATGAATATGACAGCAGTCAAAAAGGCCCTCATCTCCATGGGAATTCCAACCTTAGATGCCCAGCACAATGCTCTCCCAATGATCTCCCAAAGCAAGCCACCTTTGAGAACTGAGAACGTGTGGACCAATTGGAAGCCAACATAAGCGAGTGGCAATGGTCACCTCGCCTACTTCTCCATCATCTCCTTCAGCCACAACTGTTGCATCTTTCAGCGCAGCTACTGGCATCCTTGGCAGATGTTGGCCATGGGTGCCCCAGCCAGAGGTTCCATCAAAACAGACAGTGTTTGCACAAAATCAACACCCGGGCACAGCCTACGACAGCCTACCAGCTGTCGGGTCACGTGACTGTGAAGTCCATGAGCATGCACAGTGCTCTCCTCAAATCCTTGGCAGATGGGCCAATAAGGTCCAATAAGCACATACTTCGAGAATCTTCGAGAAGTAAGTGTGGTTATCCTGGGTAATTATGGGGAAGAAGTCTGTATGGTATGGGCCAACGGAGAAAATGAGTATTATAGTTTACTATATCTAAAGAGCAATAAGCTAAGCCAAGAGTCCACAACACAGGAGAGCGTCCAAATGAAGAGAATTATCAGGAGGAACATGTCGTTTGCAAACGGCCTCAGTGGACACCACAGATATAGAGGCTGAAGGTGTGATTCGGAAATTCCACGATCCTGTATAATCATGTATAATCAATGTATGTGATTTCCAATGATTGCCAGAGTAAAACATCCAAGCAACATCTGACAGATCGTGTGCATCTGGCTCGGAGCCAGATCGGCAAAACCTCAGCCAAGGTTGCGCATCGCCAGGTGGGTTGTTCTGGATGGATTTCCCACGACAAGGCAATCGTGTACAAGTGCCATTTGCTTCCAGGAACCAACTGGTTGAAACCCTGCTGGAATTCCACGGTGAAAGCCATTGGAAGTTAGTGTGAGGGACTCCGGCGCATAGACGGCCACTTCAAAACTACCAGCAGGCAAGGACGGACAATGCATTCGCAAAGCTCAAAAGCACATCAAAGCACAATAAAGCCATGACGTGTGACAAGAATCAAAAGTTGATGTTTGGGCCTGTCATAGAGTCTGCGGAATTTCAAGACCACCACTGAAGACAGTTCAGAGGCAACCATGTAGCTAATGAACCTCAAGGATCTCAAAGCAGTTTTGCTCATCCGTTCCTTTCTACACTGGCGAGATCAAACACCAACGGTGCTACTGGTCGTGCTAGTCATGTAGCACCTTCAAGCTGTACCAAGACACCCTTGAGCTGCCATGCAGGCCCAAAGCATCGTCAAGGATGCCACCACCCGAAAGGACCGGATGCTTTCATCTGGCACCGGCGGCAAATCGAACAATCTAATCAACCATCCCATGAATTACAAAGCCTTGAGGAGGAAAAGGAAGAAAACACGCTACTATCGACCCAGTAAAGGACAAAAAAAAGCGCCTGCCTGCATTGTGATGTGAACCGAGTGAAAGGACTTGCATATCTCGTATACATGATGAGACCTCGGCTGAACGAATGTGGCCACACTGAAGAAACTGCACTAGTTGAAAGAACTTGAACAATATTCAAAAAATGTCTTCTCCAAAGCTGCCAAAAGGCTGCTGCCCCGTAGATGTCAACATCTAGGGGAATATATGTGGGACTATCACGCTTTCCTTCATCAAGAAATTGACGGGGTGTCCACGTGGCAGTCCATTCTCCTCAGGCAAGGTCTTGCTCAAAACCAGGTGTCAAGCTCAAAACCACAACACACGGAAAAGGCTTCAAGTTTCCAGGTCTTGCCAGGTCGCCTTCACTTCCTTTTGGTGACAAATACCACCTAAGATGCGCGCGCACAGCATACCCTATGACAGGCCCCATGACGCAACAAATCTCAGGACTTTGAAACATCTGCCTTGACTCGTACATCTCGTACATCTCGTACATGCATGGAAAAGACTCTGGAAACGCTGACGAGCAACCTCATACTTCTGGACGCGCCAAAAGCAACAAATGCGATCAACACCTGAATCATCACCTTGGGAATTTCGGGGTACTACTCAGCAAGCATCAAAGTCATGTGAGTCGTCCTCTTACATTTAGCTGCTTCTTTTGCAAAGACTTTTCCCAGTCCTTGCTTTGGGTTGTAGACCTGTTGACTCTTGAGACTCTTGAGACGTTGATATCTGAGTGGCCGTGAATGACACTTGGTGAAACCGCCGGAATGGGTTGAAACGCACATTTCCAAGTTCCTCCTGACGACGGACCATGCCAGTGACTCTGCAGTTTGCTTCATGCTGCTTGCATGCATTTAGTTGAAACAGTTGAAACATCCGATGCTCTGGAGTATTGCAACCACTGCAACAGTCCCGGAGAATCTTGTCGTCAGCTGCAGCCGGGACCTATCCAGCATTGGCGAGAGCATGCTGCTGATTGAATGGCAAAAATATGCAAAAATGATAGCTGAAAATGGACTGATGCAGTGAATGAAGAACGTTGTCCTTTCATGCTGATATGTCATGTGCAGATTCTTGTTGTGGCTAACTCAGCACCAAATCACAACAGCATAGATAGGCAGAGCACACAAATCTGCCACCATCGCATGCTTGCAACACGCTCAGCACAGCGAATGAATCTGCCGAAAACCACAGACACCTCTTCAGCAACTTCTGGCTCCTGTCGACCCTTCGCCTTTCCTCGCGGCCTCCCATCGGAGACCTGACAAAGGAGGCATTGCAAAGCTTCTCGGCACATGGAATCACCAAACAGCCAATCTTCAACCAACTAGGCTAAGCTACCCTTTGTTGCTCGGACCTGTCTCACATTCCACTGCTCCCATTAGGGGGATGTCATCAAAACCTTCAGCACGGATGGGATTTTTCCCATACCCCCCGGCCTGGATCAAGCTACTGGATGCAGTGCCAGTTGCTTCCCATGGACAAACTTCATGGACACAAGCGAACTCTGCCCTGAGGAGGTCGGAGCTGAAGCGGCTGAAGGGTATCAGCACATCCAAGTCTTCTCTGCTGGCTGCTCCTGCATATCCAACAAGAACTAAGGCTTCAGCACTCCCACGTGGCAAGTTGCGAGGAAGCTCCCTCGCAAAAAAGACGTATACCTCATGGCCTGCTGTAACAAGATGTAATAAGATGTATAAGGTGGCGGGAAGGTCTTGAGCCAGAGATTCAGAGCGCAAAACAGTCGTACCGAGTCGTACTGCGAAAAATCCTGCACCAGGAAGCCAAGAGGAATCATACGGAATCATGATCCACCCATATCCACCCTCTCCAGTCCCAGGTTCGAAAACGGACAGCCCAGTCTGTTCCCATCCCGGGACTTCACCTCGATGGTAGTTCCATCCATGGCCGTGATAATGTCCCCTGGGTGCAGGGCACCTCAGAAGCACAGCGCTGTTGGAAAACTTTCACTCTGGGGATGGAAGAGCACCTGTAAGATCTTGTGGTACGACAAATGACTCAAATGACACAATTGTTTCTTTCTGCCATTTGTATCCATTTGTGTCAAAAAAGAAAGACAAGAAAGAAATGACAAATTGATTGTCAAGAAGAACATTATCTTTCTGCCCCACTGTCTGTGCCTGGGTTTCCACTCACCATGTTCTCGCAAGTGGCAATCACGAAATGCACTTCGACATCCTCCAATCTTCTTGGATATAACTGTGGGATCACACATGCCTCTATGTTCATTGTACCCAACAAATCATGTTGAAGCGACTTTGTCATATCTTTCTGAGATCAGCAACACCTCTACCTTCCCATGACCCAATTCTTTTACCTTAAGTTCACACGTTGATCTCCCAACGTCCTTGGGCTTGAGCTGGGCTATGGCAGCTGCCGCACCCAGAGTGCTTGCAGAACCGCCCATGTCGAATTTCATCATCTCGATCATGGAGCCTGCAATTCAGCTTATCTCAAGCCACAGGGACTGTAGTGATTCACTACGATTCACTCATGAGAGAAACTGAGATAGGGCCTCAGATGGATTCACTTAATTCAACCAGCAAGCACTGCATGCCCATCCTGCTCCCGCTTTCAAGTTGTAGCCACCCGAGTCAAAGGTTAAGCCCTTGCCAACAATGCCCACCTTTCGCTTGACTTCACCTCCTGCACATACCAGCCGGGTTGACAACCCAACAACAGAAATGTCACTGCTCAACTGCACCAAACTCGAACCATCTCAAAAGCATCCAGCGGATCACAGTTCCATCCTTCTATGATCCAAATTCAATGTGGATCAATTTGGTAATCCCAAACCAATCCAAACTCCACAAAGCATCACAAAGCCATCGGGACATCGGTGAAGTCTCAAGGACCCAAGCCCTCTTTCGGCGCACCTGGAGAATATGTCAGGTGGATGAGGCGCGCCCCCAGATTCGACGCCCGACTCACAGCCAGGAAGGAGCCCATGCCCATCTCTCCACAGTCCTGGTGGTGATGATGGTTGTATCATGAATCATGAATGGACATGAATGGACTATGTTTTTGAATGTTTTTGATTCTCATGGTGATGCCTGACCTTATCATGTATCCCAAGGTGCACTCATCATCATGATTCGTATCATGATTCATGTAGTGGATGAGCTGAAGAATGTCAGCGAATCACTGAAGGGACTTTTGCAACGCGGGAAAAGGATGGAAAAAGTTGATCTGACCGAATCCCAGCTCCTTCTCATCTAAAATCTTGGCAGAGAGTCCAAGCTGTTTTGCCATGTCAGCTGCAGCTGCTGTCAAAGTAATGGGATCGATGATGTTGGCAGGTGCATTCCTGGGAGTTTGCAAGCGCTTGTTTTCTACACTTGACGACATTGTTCGTGACATTGTTCGCACTGCACACAATGAATTGTGTACGAGTACCGTGTTATCGAAATACAACAAACGATCAGCGTTGACACAACTCTTTTTTTGGCAGGTGCATTCCTGATACTAACGTGTGATCAGTGAAAATACTTCAGAATGTCGTTTGGCGCCGTCATGTCGCGCCGACCGGCTTGCTTGGAAAAGCCTTGTTAAGGATCCAGCACAAGCTCTCGAGCGAAAACCACCCCAGCAGCAATTGCACTCGCCTATGCAATTCATTTTGCAAATGGAATGCTTTTCAGTGGAGCAGTCAAATTTCACTAGCACTAGCCGCTTTTCACTTAAACTCGACATTGGGCATTGGGCCATGACTCTCAGTACCCTGCATGACTGGCCTTGTCAATGTCTTCTGCGGACTCATAGCCAAGCAACTCCACGGTGTTCGGGCCCTTTGGAGCCTGACTATTGGAGCTGGATGTCCAAAACCAGCATTTAAATCCACTAGTCCACTAGCTTCTCCCAAATCAGTCCCTCGTCTCTGGCTTCGCAACCGGCCTTGTCTTTCTCCGGTGTCTTTGACCCTTGAAATCGCTTGTCCGCCTTAGGCAACTCCATGGTGAAGCTGCAAACTTGGCTCTGTGTGCCTCCCTCTCCAAGGCCCGAACGTGAAGGCCAAGAAGCAAGCCCTCCATGAGAGCCTGCACCAAACGCAGCCGGATACACTGCGCATACGCTGAACGGTACAATGAGGACCGATGGCCTGAGGGTCCACACCCTCAGCACGAGTAAGTCCAACAGAACCACCTTGCAAACACGGCAGAGATGTAGCCGTGTAGCCAGCTCTTGACGACATGGTGTCAGCACCAAAACAAAAGCACTCCGCAGCACTGAGCACCCAGCCTTTCAGGCCCTTGACGGCTCCCGCAATAGCCGCACCAACTTCCCGAGCGTTGGGGTCTTTGTCACCCAAGCCCACTAGAACCACACGCTTGAAAGCCTCTGCGCCAACTGTGGGCAAAAAGCACGATCGTGGATCGTGGATTCGGTGCTGCTCACCTAATCAAACCTAGATCCTAGGGACGAGTCAAAAAACATGTCAAAGAGCAGCCTGGAATACTTCCTATGCTTGCCTTGTCGAAGACTGGAAATGCTGCTGCTGAACCAGACTTTGCTTCAAAGGATTCCTCTTTCATGAAGACCGAAATGGTGCCTGCGAAGCAGAGAAGCGTGGCAGCTCCAGGTCTCACTACAGCAGGTCGTATGCTTCAGAAGCACGACCCCAATGGTATATGGTGCGAGAATGAGAAAAGAAAAAGAAGCAGAACAGGAAAAAAAGAGAACCATGCAAGAAGATAAAGGGCACAAGTGCGGCATAAGTGGCATAATGTAGAAAGGGAGAAAAAGGGGGAAGAGACTTGGTGACTTGGCACTTTGGAGCCGCAAGGTAAGACTTCACACCAAAAAAGCTGCATCCCTGAAAGCGTGCGCTTTGCAACGTTAGAATCCTGCAACTTTTTGGCTTTGGGGAAACAGTTCGCGAAGGCTGAGGAACTCTGGGAACCTTTCGTCTGCGGTAACTCCAAAACTGACTTATCTGACTTTTCCAAAATCCGCCACCGTTAGCAATTGCACAATAGCTAATAAGCTTTAGCTTGGGGGGGGGGCATTTTTGCTCTAGAATCCTGTGGTTTTGCATGTTTTTCAAAAGGGGTCAAAATTCTTGATCTGGGCCAATATAGGCCAAAAATGGGTCAAGATAGGCCCAACATAGGCCCAACATGAGCCTAAGATAGGCTCACATGGGGCTAATATAGCCTCAAATGGGGCCAACATACCCTCATATGGGGCCAAGATAGCCTCATACGGAGCTAAAAAGTTCCCAATAAGTGCTAAAAAAAGGTTCAATATGGCCAAACATCCTCCAACATATGTGAGTGTTATCCATTACACTTGGTGCGGGCGGTGTTCGTCGCGAAGCGACTGTGAAGTGGTGGACTCCAGTGCCCTCGCGCCTCCCAAAATGTCATCAATGGACTTCGCGGCTGCTTCCAATACTGGTGTGGCATCATCACCCTCACCGCGAACGAACAAAACCAAGGCATCTCCTGGGTCAACCAAATGGTTCAAATTCTTCTCACAAGCAGTTTCCCAAACTCATGCATCAAACATGGAACGATTTCAGCAAGCGCACCGAGGTTAAGTCAACTCGCAATGATGTGTTTGTCTTGCGAGGCAAAAGTGACTCTGGCCTGCCCATTCCTCTGCAGAACTTCCGGAGAGGACAATAGATGGTCCAACCTCAAAACTCAAAATGCACATCTGTTGTTGGCAGCCTGTCACTAAACTCCTACCGTCACCCACTGGCATTTCTCTCATCTGGTAACAACCATTGGCCACAAACATGTCCAGCCAAAGTTGCGAGTCCGGCACAAGAGCTTCAATTTTCTTCTTCATGTCATTCCATGTCATTCCATGTCATGTCATTCCATTTAGGATCCTAAAAATAAGGGATCCCCAAGTCACCATAGTTTTCACCTTCTTACCTTCCGAGGACGGCACACTTTCTCTGAAGCGGATGGCCTCAGGCCTCGCAGCAAGTTCGCAAACGCAGCGACGCAGACCGCCTTCGGTCCAAAGCACAGCCGAGCAACGGCGACTCGGTGGCCACAGCTCGCACAGCGAGGACCTGCTCCGGAACACGTCAAAAAGGAATCATGGATGTTTGACTACCCAATGGATCATGGATGATCAATAATATCAATATTATCTGAATATTCTGAAGTAGTTTCATGATGTTTCATGTATTTTCTGATTGTCCAAGTGATTATTTCATGGATTAGCCATTTCCTTCAACGGCTAATCAAATCACCTGCTTTTTCCATGGTCGCCTGCCGGCGTGAGCGGCGGCGTGCCGCCAGGGTGGCAGGGACCACAGTGGCAGCAGCAAGGCTAGAAAGCCTGGGACCAGGAAGAAGTGTAACAAATGGATTCAAATGGCATACAAGATTGAAAAAAGTTGGACACAGGGAATAGAAAAGTGAAATACACTGCGCCGAAGGGGTCCTTCACTATCTTGACTCTTACTACTCGCTTTTCCATCTGTTGCAACACCAGTGTCTCCCACCATTCCATGACCAGGGCTGTTTTCAACTCTTGCATTGCTTGCCTCGCTATGTGAAGTTTTTGGCCACCATCGTAGGCCTCAAAGATGTGCATTTCAGATTCTCAAATCCTAGCGTTTGACTTTGCGTGTCATCAAATCCCCTTGGCCCCAGCCTTGGGAGGGGACACTCGGGGGCCTGCCAACAAGCTCTGCTGTCATGTGGGATTCTTACATCTTGTGGTGTTCTGCTTTGAAGGGTTCAAAACAATGCGCCATGAGAACACTATTGGTAAAGATCAATCGGGACCAGATTTTCTGCAAAAACAAAGATGGGTTTGAAGTACCTCTAGGGACAAAGCCCGATGCCAGAATTCCATCTGCACGCCTCTCCACAAAGTCCGTTGAGCTCGTAAGGCTGAGGCCAAATGACCCTAGCGCCGCCGTCGGACCGGGTGTGGGTCAAAACTTTGGTGCTCACTGTACTCTGCTAAACCTTTGAAAATGAGGTGAATAGTATTGCAACTAGTCTATGTTCAGGGATGTTGATTGCCTCATTTTCCTTTAGACTCACATCCAAAATCACCCATTAAACACACTAAATAGCTGATTGCTGGATCATCACTGTGGACAAACTCCCCCGCACCGTGCCAATCAATCGAAGACTGGTCATGGCCATGAGGACTTCACGACAGGCCAAATTTGGATGCAAATGTGGGATCACAACGAATCATCCGGGTCTTAGAGATACTGCTTGACATTATGGGTGTTCATAGATAAATCATAAATCAATCTGAGCATCAGTGCTTGATGTATCAATGTTTGCTATTGGCTATTGCGATCACTACAGCACTGCAAACTGATGACCTTGCCGTGAACTTGCCTCTGGTGAATGCTAGTGCTAGGGCTAATGTGTGCTTTGAAGCGCATAGGACCTAGGACAGAATGGAGATGTCTCCACCACAATGCCAGAATGTGTTGGGTCTACTTCGAAGATCAGCCAGGCCACAAGTTTTGCTCGCTTTAAATAGAGATGCGCCCCAGGAGGACGGGTCAGCATGTGGAATTTTGAACACGATGTTCACTCAAACCGCACTAGTACGGATTTTGGCCTTACAAACTGACACCCACTGTGCTCTCCACATGCTCTGCTTGAACAAAGCTATCCCCGACCCACCTGTTTTCAGGTGAGCTCTGTTAAACACGATTCTGAGGCTTGAGAGGCTTGACAGGCTTGACTCCAAAAGTCGAGGCGACATCCTTTCAAGCCTCATTCCCTCATGGACCAAGAAAACTCAGCCACACACTTCTTGGGCAGAGATCCCTGGCTCGTGAAACAAACTCGGCAGTGACGCACATCGTCCAACCTGTCAGCAACCTCAAATTCAGCCCTCTTGGCATGCTGACTGGGCAGCTTCCCAAAGAAGCTGAGAACCCCGAAAGCCGAGGATTTCTAGCAAGCAGTGGACTAATTCAGAATCCATCAATTGACCAAGGATGTTAGGCCCTTGAAATCTTGGAAATCTGCCTGGTCATGTCAGAAAATGATCATCTGAACTGTGCAAACAACCACTGGTGCTCAAAATGCAAATGTTGCAGTCCCACCTCTTGCTTGCAAAGGTCCGAAGTCATGCATGTTTGCTTAAAAGTACAGCTGCCAGGGCGAGACACAAATGAGAGATTGCAGAGTTCATCCAACCGGTATCCAACCAATTGCCTTCAACAAGAAAGACTACATAGCTGACATAGCTGACAGCTCCGGAAGAATGGCACGTTCTTCGGTTTTCTCAAACGATGTATCAGGACGACATGCAATTTCTCTGGTCAACCCGGCCCTCAAGGTTGCATCGCATCATCACTGCCGTCGCTGAATGCGAACTCACCTTCCTGATGTGCAGCCAAAATAACAACGAGGCATGAAGGGACCTTCTGGATCTCTCGGAAAAATAAAGCTCTTCACTGGCTCTTCACACTCACACTTCGAAACCATTTAACAACTTGAAGTATTTTCCAATATGTTCGAATTATGTTTGAATTATGGCCAGTTTTTCATCATTTTTTCAGCGGGTTCCCCAATAAACCTGGCCGCCTGGAGGCTGGAACCCATCTCGCTGCTGCGACCTTTGGAATCTTCCGATGCAGAGTCCTCAACTGTGGATCCCATGGAAAAAGTGACGTTCAGTTTGAAAAAAAAACATATATAATATGTATATATATATAATATTATTTATATCTATATATATATGAAATATTGGTTTGAATATTATATTATATAATACTATATACTACTTTTGTATAATAACATATCTAGTAGTTTGGTATGCCATTTACAATTTATAAATTATATTTTACTACGTTTGTAATCCCATGTATTCTAGACTAGTACCATCAAACGCCGGGAACAGGCTGCCGGTCCTGCGACAGCTGGACGTCACTGTCAGAGTCGGGACCTCCTTGGGCGCTCCGCCGACTCTTTGTGACGCTGCCTGCCGTGGCCCCCAGGGATCAAAACCAAAAGGGAAAGAAAAACTGAAGTCATTGTTGTAACTGAAATTTATGTGTTTTTCTGGTTGTTTTTTGCGTGGCCAGTTTTCAAATTCAGGAAAAAAATGCTCCAAACTGAAATACATCAAGATCCAAAGGGAACTCGCGACGCACTAAACTCAACTGCAGAGCCTATGAAGAGAACCCGATTCTTCTCCAGATCAAGGAAGAAGTAGTGAAAAGACCTCAACCGACAAGAAGCCAAAAGAAACTGCAGAGCCCATGTATACATCAATATGATGTCAATATGTATACTGAGTATATTGTATACGGTATGCTGTTTACTAGATTTTCCTAGATAAAGACACAACACGGCAATTGATGCTAGCTCACTGGATCGTCTCCGCAACTTCCGCATCTGTAAGTACTCCACATTAGGGCATGATCAGTCGGCCCAAAGCTGGCAGACCTGAGGATGCACTGGAGAAAATCCATCGTATTCTTCTTCAGCGACATCATGAGCATTCACGAACACTGGAGTCGTCAAGCAAATCACATCAGTTCCCAACGCTGGTCGGAAAGCAAACACTTCAGACTTGACGATGTCGATTGATTCTTGCACTGCCTGACAAATTATCCAAGTCAGGCAACAAAGTGTCCAAAACTGCCAGCGAAGAAGCATACCAACATATACCAACTAACGCATGTAACGACCCAAGCACTCCATTGCTTTTCTTGCATTATTTTAATACATTCTGTTTGTTGGGCGCATCCTTGCAAGCAGCACAAGCTCAAGCAACTTGTGGCATCTAGAAAAAAAGACTATTGATCACTGTTGTGCCTCCCAGAATTCAGCTAGAAAGCCACTGTGGACACGGTCCACCTTAATTCCCAACACTTCTGTTGCTCATGGCAGAGCCATAGCTTGTCAAAGCATGCATTCATCCCGCTTAGACCACGGCTATCTGTACAAGGCTATGATTGATGGAAGTCACCTCAGCAATGTCGCTCTTAGGCACAAAGGAGCCAGATCTTCGTTGTTCCAGTTTCAAAGTGGTGGGCTTGGTGATCCAACTTCGTACCTACCCAATCCCCTTGAATACAGAACACCACAGAATAAATGTCATAAACCTAAAATCGCACTGCCATGGCACCACGGCATGCTTGTCTGGACAACGCTCAAAGTCCGTGGGGTACAAATGGGTGCAGTCGTAGTCGACATACAGCAAGGACCTCGGCCAATGCCAAACAACCGTCCACATCCAAGCTTGAAACCAGACAAAGTTCGTAGTTGTGGCCACATTCACACAACATCTACAAATTCAGGCGGGAAATCACTAGTGCTTTTGCTCAAAGCGCGAAAATGTTGAGGAACCGACATCAGCGCCCGCAGATTTGACAGCAACGTCCTTGCGCTGTGAAGAAATGATCCAAGGAGAAACAAATTTCTTCATATCACAACTTCAATCTGCCAAGAAAGGTCTGAAATTCCAAACACCCATCATGTTTCTGTCCCAGTTGTTAGTCTTGCAGACTTCCTGCAATCAACGCAATCATCCAGTGAACCACATCGTACTATCCAGTTGTCCAAGGCACTGCGAAATTTCACAGGACAGCGGCCCCAGCGGAGAGTCAGCGAGACTCTCGGGGCAGCGGAGCTGGAGTTCGTGCATTTGGCCCTGAGCAGTGAACCGAGCACAGGATCAGTGTATCAGAGATGACTTTGAGGTTTCGAATTTTGAGACAAGCCCGTATCAAAGCTGTTTGACCTTCACACAGTTCTTTTAGCTAAATTTTGAGGTCCGCGCAACTGTCAATTTCTTCTTCGAGCAAGCAAACAGCTCGACGCGTCCCTTCCAATGTGAACAGACTTGTTGGTGGCTCCATCAATCACTTTCTGGTTAGACGTTGATATGCATCCTTTCCATGAAGGTGAGGCTTGTACATTCCAAAATAGCAAGAAAGAACACAACAAAACACCGCCAGGGGCCAGGGGTAAATTGCTCAAACCCGCTAAACTAAACCGAAGCTCTTACGCTACAACCAAAAGCCAATCTGGGTAAAGCAAATCATGCATGGCAAGAAGGACAATTGAACAGTAGCACTGAAGCCGAAACAAAGACTTGAGTTCTTTGACAAAAATGCGGATTCCGCTGGCATGGACACCAAATAGCAAAAAGATTTCAAAACGAGGTTGGGATAGGTTGGGTACAAGTCGCATACGCTCAGGACACAAGTACTCAGAAACAAGCATTGAAGATTGACAAACAATGGCACGCGACAGCCATGCCAAACTTCAGGCCAGTGGCACCCTGGACAGCACCCGACACAGTAATCAACAACTAACCGTGATTCTATGAGAAGCAAGAACCTGTTCCACTTGCTGTCTCGAAAATCTCGAAAAACTATGAAAAACTCTTCTCATTCTAACTTCATCCGATCTGCCAGTGGAACACTATAGTCACTATGAGAATGCCTTAATGATGCGGTCCCCTGCGTCCACAACCTTCAGCATTGCACCTTGGACGAGACCATGGGTTTTCCTCTGTTCACTTGCTGCACAAGAACCATTCCTCCGCTGGTCTATTCTGAAGGACCATGTTCTTCGCTATAATTTTTAGACTTAGTCTACAGCATTCTAGATTCTAGAGAACTATCAATTCTGTCACAGTATTGACGCCATGGATTGCGCGGCCCCTATGCAACTTCCCAGTTGCGGACTGAGCTGTGTAAGCTGCGGAGATTCAATGAAGCCACCATCTCGGAAGGCCTCAGTAAATCCGAAAGTTTGAAAGGTGACATGAAAATCTGTCTAGTTCAGAATTGATTCAATGACCTCTTCCATCTCCAATCCCGACGCCTAAAGTGGTTCTGGGTGCGAACACTCCACCACTGCTGGATCGTGGCCGGTGCTGCTCCTGCACTCTAATCAGCTTGTATTGCAGAGACTGGGCATGCAGTGCATGCAGCGCATGCACTGCATGTGTGAACGTTTGAATCACTTTGAATCACTTTGAATCACTTTGAATCACTTCATGTTCAAAGTTTACCCAGTTTATGCACTGCATCTCCGTCAGTCGTCACGTTTTGCTGTCTTCAAAGCTTTTAAGTTGCACGGGAAATACGGGAAGCACCTGCATGTAGACCAACGCAGTCTCATTCTGGAGCTTTGGGCTCTGCTTTGGTTGCAACCTCAACAGAGAGGGAGGTCTTTGGTGATGGACACAACATTGTCACACTTCCATCACGGCATAGTGTTTGCGGGAGCAGCAAATCTCTAAACTCAATTCTACTTGATGCTGGAAATGAACCATGATACTCCCTGCAGCTACTGTAACTTCCCCAACTGATATCATCAGAGCTTGGACTTTGACACAACGTGCCAACCTCCAAAATCCGTTCACAAGGAATAGCCCAACCATGGCTACTGAGGGTTCCTTACTTGGGAAAGACCAGTGCTCTCTTGGGAGCAATGCCAGTTTTGGGTGCCTTCTGAGGTCCTCACAAGGGACTGGCACCGAAGCTGCGAGGCAGTCGCTGGTCACCTGGACATGCTTTGGCTGGACACGAAACTCACACAACCAGCTTAGGCGGGTCTGCGTAGGCTCAAAGGCTCAAACGCCACTTTTTGCACAGTTTGCTAATTGCTGTCATGCAAAATCACAGCGTTCATCTTCAGCGATGCGCACGACACGGCCGAAAGGATCCGAAAGGATCATGTCATGTGGCTGGAAAACCACAAGGTGACATCTTACAGGACAAACGTGTCGCATAGATCCGCATAGTCTACATGGTGGAGCCTAAAACCCCATCCTTTCTTGGAGCGGGTCCTTTGAAAGCATCTGCCAGTTTCTCTGTTGCACTAACACTACACAAAAAAAAAGAAGAGAACAGTCACCAGCGCAGGTTTCAACACTTATCTTTGAATTGTTGAAACAGAGATCCACAAAGGCGAGTTTTCTCAGAGGCTGTGCAGAGTGGACTTCCACAAGAACCGTACCAAGCATGTGCAGTTCATACCGCATAGGCATCTCATCATGGTCGATGTGTCCATGGCAATGTGACTTCCCCGCATCCTTTTTTGGAGAGACTCCACAAACCTCAACTTTGAAACTTAGGACAAGACTCGGACAAGACTGGAAATTCACTTGGAAAGAGGATGTGATTTAAATCTGTACGAGGATTCTGTTTGACTTCAAAACACACTCTACCAAAGCTGGAAAAGAATTGGATTCCGATGTAATGGCATGGCAATTGCTTTTCAAGTACCAAACTCCTTGGCTTTGGATGCAAAACGAAATGATTTGGTCACGTCTCTCCACACACTACCTGTGGGCCTGAGGCTTTGTCAAAGGCCCACAGTTCAAGATTCTGAACGCATGCTTGATCGACTGGCACTGAACACATTGACATCAGCCGGCTGTTTGGAGCTACTGAGTCCTTCATATGTGCTTCATGATTCCCATGTTCGTGGTTAGTCGCTGAACCCGGCCAATACAGCCAGTGCAGTCTTCCTCCCAAACCCTCCCCGAGAGCAATTGGGTTTCCATGATCAAGCATGTTCCGCCTGGAAGAACTTGAAATGCATCCTGCTCTCAGATATCAGGTGCAAATGCAAACAACATCAGCCTGCATACATTCCATGCGTTCCAGTAGATGTTGATTTCTAGAATCCTTTTGGCTGTCCATTCAATTCTATGCCCACATGCTTTCAAGCCTGGATAAGCAGGCGGTCAATAGCTTTGAACTTGCTAGTTTTCCAGTTTCAATGGCCGTGGCAAGGCAATGCGATTATGATTGCACTTGCTATGCAGACTGGTTTGGAGCTTAAGTAGCAATGATCTTCACAAACCTTGGATCAACGCTTTCATTTGTTTTCAATGACAAATTCCTCACAAGTCCCAAACCTTTTATATATGGGAAACGAATATTGGCTTTGATCGCCTATGAAAAACTTTTTTTTCGCGCATACCAGGTCAATCAGGTAATTCAGGTCACCTCTCAAGCAGTTTGATCGCATAAATTGAACAATCTATGTGAAGGAAACCTGAATTCCACTGAGCAGCTGACACTCAGCAGAGATTTGCCAACTTGTCGAAAAATCTGCCAGACAGTCGCGCTGGTACGGGTTTTCGACCCACAAATTTTCAAACGATTTCTGGTTCGGAACGGGTATGGGTATGGAGATGTATAAAGCGGATGAAGTCACTTTCCCAAGCTTCGGACTTCACATGTCGCCGATAGTGGAAATGTTTGCCATGACAACGGGTCGCCGGTGCTTCAGTTTCGCGGTGTTCACGGCAGACTTTTCATAATGCGCCAGGTTGGCCTCGGAGGATTGTTGTGGATCATCGTGGATCATCGTGGTTTCGGCGGTGCTCAAACCGCTGAAATCTGTATCAACATGACACAACCGAACGAAGTTTAGAAGTCAAACATCCGACTTCTGGACAGATGCAGCAACAGTGGTGTCTGCGAAGAGAAAGTGTCAGAAGAGGAAAGAAAGAGAAGAGAAAGAAAGAAGATCAAAGCGCGCGAAAAGTAGAAAAGTCGCGAAACACTTTGTTTTTGCAATGTTTTGCAGCCCGGAGGGCCAAAAGGTAGGCTCGCTAAAGCGGCGGGCGTGGAGGCATCTGGCAGGATGAGAGATGAAAAATTGCATGCGGCTGTGCCGAGATGCACAAAACACCTCAGGTTCAGAGCGTTTTTGGAAGTTGAGTTGTTGAAAAATTGCACGCCGTTGTGGCGCGAAGCGCATTTTGCTTTTGGAAGTTTGGCTGTTCAAAAAGTGCACGCGACGTGGGACATTTGAAGAAGATCTGCAAAGCTGCGCTTCGCCTGGCATGCGCAGTACAAGAGACATCCCTATCAAAGATGTTCGGATGTCAGGGCGCTGATTTCCTGAGAGAGGTAGCATTTTGGAGCATCAGATCTTCAGCTTTGCTAAGATGATTTTGCGTCACAAGTGCATCACTTCTTATGACCTGGCCTCACTTGGTCGTGGCAGCGCAATACTTTACACACATGCAATGAAAAAATTGCAAAACACATTGGTACGAGGTCGTCAGCTCTGCACTCAACTTTCCACTTTTGAAGGAAGTCTCGCAGAATTGGTTCAATTTTTTGACATTGTCAACTTCAAATATTGAGGAAGTCTCGCAAAACTGCTCCGTGGTTGATGCTGTTTGAGAAGTCTCGTAGAATTTCTTCGTGTTGGATCTTTGAGCTTGCAGTTTTTAAGGAAGCCTCCCAGAAGTGCTTCTTTGCAGGTAGGTAGATAGACATACAGACAAATAGATAGGCAGAGAGATGGAGATTGATATAGATAGAGAGAGAGAGAGAGAAACAGAGACAGAGACAGAGACAGAACGAGAGATTGCAAGAGATTGACAGAGAGACCGATAAATGAATAGAGAACTAGATAGATTGATTGATTGATAGATAGATAGATAGATAGATAAGTAGATAGACAGATAGAGACAGATAGAGACAGATAGAGACAGATAGAGACAGATAGAGACAGATAGACACAGATAGAGACAGATAGAGACAGATAGAGACAGATAGGGATAGCGAGGATAGAGATAGATAGATAGATAGGATAGGATAGGATAGGATAGGATAGGATAGGATAATCAGAGATAGATAGATAATCAGAGATAGATAGATAATCAGAGATAGATAGATAATCAGAGATAGATAGATAATCAGAGATAGATAGATAATCAGAGATAGATAGATAATCAGAGATAGATAGATAATCAGAGATAGATAATCAGAGATAGATAATCAGAGATAGATAATCAGAGATAGATAATCAGAGATAGATAATCAGAGATAGATAATCAGAGATAGATAATCAGAGATAGATAATCAGAGATAGATAATCAGAGATAGATAATCAGAGATAGATAATCAGAGATAGAGATAGATAATCAGAGATCAGAGATAGATAATCAGAGATAGATAATCAGAGATAGATAATCAGAGATAGATAATCAGAGATAGATAATCAGAGATAGATAATCAGAGATAGATAATCAGAGATAGATAATCAGAGATAGATAATCAGAGATAGATAATCAGAGATAGATAATCAGAGATAGATAATCAGAGATAGATAATCAGAGATAGATAATCAGAGATAGATAATCAGAGATAGATAATCAGAGATAGATAATCAGAGATAGATAATCAGAGATAGATAATCAGAGATAGATAATCAGAGATAGATAATCAGAGTTAGATAATCAGAGATAGATAATCAGAGATGGATAATCAGAGATAGATAATCAGAGATAGATAATCAGAGATAGATAATCAGAGATAGATAATCAGAGATAGATAATCAGAGATAGATAATCAGAGATAGATAATCAGAGATAGATAATCAGAGATAGATAATCAGAGATAGATAATCAGAGATAGATAATCAGAGATAGATAATCAGAGATAGATAATCAGAGATAGATAATCAGAGATAGATAATCAGAGATAGATAATCAGAGATAGATTGATAGATTGATAGGTTGATAGGTTGATAGGTAGATAGATAGATAGATAGATAGATAGATAGATAGAGAGATAGAGAGATAGAGAGATAGAGAGATAGATAGATAGAGCGAGATAAAGATAGATAAAGATAGATAAAGATAGATAGATAGATAGATAGATAGATAGAGCGAGATAAAGATAGATAGATAGAGCGAGATAAAGATAGGTATATAGATAGAGCGAGATAAAGATAGGTATATAGATAGAGCGAGATAAAGATAGGTATATAGATAGAGCGAGATAAAGATAGGTATTTGGATAGAGCGAGATAAAGATAGATAGATAGATAGATAGATAGATAGATAGATAGATAGATAGATAGATAGAGCGAGATAAAGATAGATAGAGATAAAAATAAATAGAGATAAAGATTAAAATAAAGAGAGATAAAGATAGAGATGAAGATAGAGATGAAGATAGAGATAAAGATAGAGATAAAGATAGAGTCGATAAAGATAGAGATAAAGATAGAGATAAAGACAGAGATAGAGACACAGAAAGAGATAGAGACAGAGAAAGAGAAAGAGATAGAGAAAAAGAAAGAGATAGGGATATAGATATATATAGATATAAAATGAATTAAAATGATATAGATAGATAGTCAGATACACAGAAGATAAACAGAAAATAGACAGAAGATAGACAAGCAGACAGCTAGATAAAGACAGAGAGAGATGGAGAGAGATGGAGAGAGATGGAGAGAGGGAAGGCAAGAGCGAGAGAGACAGAGAGACAGAGAGAGAGAGAGACAGAGAGAGAGAGAGAGACAAAAATTCATAGCCTCGGTCCATCAGTTCTCTTTGATATAAGATGATTGATTCAGCAATATTCAGCACGCTGCTCATTAAGCCGACAGAGATGCAAGTATCAAAGCATTATTTTCTCTTTGAACTCAGTGGACTCGTTACACCTTGGCTACACATTGGTTTCAAAATCGCTGCTTTTTATCGTTCTACGTCCTTTCCCTCCCTTTCGTGTCCGCCGCTTCCGCCTGCCTCGAGACCTTGAAGATGAGCAGCAGAGATTGCTGCAATCTTTCCAGAAGTCTTGCGGTGACGCTTGAAACGGTAACCCTGGAAGGCCTCAATGCATTTACTGGCCCATTCCTTTGTCACAAAGTTCACGAAAGCATAGCCCACATTTGACATCGTTCCTTTGTCTAAAGGGATGTACAAGAAGTTGAAGGTCCCAGCAAAGCCCAAGTCCTCCAGTTCAGCAATCAGTTCCTCCAGGGTGAGGGTGTCATGGTGTGGCCATCATATACCATCGTTCTATCCGATTCCATGCAGCATTCTATCTGCTTTTGAATGCGGTCGGCCTTAGGTCTGTCCCTATTTTGGCGTGTCAACACCATCCCAAGATATCATCAAATATCACCCCCTAGAAACATGAGCGGCCACAGGCCACCATGATGTTCAGCCAATCTCCCCACTCCTGCTGTGTGTAGCGATTTGGAATGTTTCGAATCCTCAGTTTGTTTGAAGCACGGCAACGTGAAATCGGCAGAGTAAGCGGGTCACATCACATGACCCAAAAAAAAGAACTGGGAAAATTCTGGGAAGCTCAACTGATCTGATGTTCATCAAAATCATCCCAAATCACCGAGGATCATCAGCGTGGTGATCTCCTGTGCTGGATGGCTCTCACATTCCTCCTGAAAATTCACATTCTTTGGAACTCTGCTGTGATGATATTCTCTGGGCAGTCGCTTATCCTCCAGTATAGCTTTCCTTAGAAAATGTTAGATTTCTCCAGACCATGACAGTTGAGAGGTGAAACAATGTGAAACAAACATCTGAATCAGTATTTACATGAAAGCACCATGGACTTCGATATACAATTCCAGGAAGTGTCATTTCAATGCTTTCGGTGCCCACCTTACTACAACAACATTAAACTGGCTGCTGTCAAGTTTCTGCCTGCGTGCCTTTGGCTCTTCATTCTCATTGGCCACGTTCGGCCCGCAATTCTCATCCTCGAGCTCAGGGTGTATTGAACTCGTGGGACTGTTCACAGGTGAGTCCAGCAGCCCAAAGGGCAAAAGCTCTGTCACCTGTGAAACAGATGGCTGCGGCATGGGCTGCACAGGCATGGCCGAGATCCTGTGAACCCGACCAGCCTGCAAAACTGTCGGAAGGTCCAGGGCCCCATCCCGAGCTGCTCGAGCTGCTCGAGCTTCTCGAGCTTTGGGGTTCAAATTTCCAGTCACATGTCCAAAGGTTTTCTTCTCTTTGGCAATGCCTGCAATGCCTTGTGACGGTTCCAAAAGGTCACAGGGCAGGCTGTGGCTCTGGGGATCCTGGTAGCCGGAGTCTCTCTCGGCACCCCAGGTCCAACCACCCAAACTTCCGTGGCTTGACACGCTTTCGTGGCTTCCTGAGCCTTCCATGTACTCACTGTATTCTGTAGATTTGAGGCACGGTGAAAACTCAGAAGACTGTGTTTTCTGCGAGTAGTTCTGAAACCCCTCGCAGTTCTGGAACTTTGTGGTGAACTCGTTGTACTCTGGGTACTCTGGGTACTCTGGGTACTGGGACGGGTACTCTGTGTACTCTGCGGGGCCGTAGTCCGCTTGCAAACCTGGATGGAACCGGCGAACCATGGCCTCATGCACCTGCGACTCTGAGAAAACTCGGAAGTGTCTCGAGTCAGCAGGGCTTTGCTTGTACTCGTCGTTCTCAGGTGCCAAAATCTTTTGGTACATATCTTGTGGGTAGAAGGCTTCCTTAGGCATTCAAGGAGAGTAATTGCTGGAAGACACGTAAGAGAAGCCATCTTTACAACTGTTGCAACTGACGACCACATCCAAATTCCAAGTTGTCCTCAACTTAAATTCAAAATTGAGGCAAGGTTCCTGGCTGCCGTCTGTCCAACTCAGAGGGCTCATTGATGGTACCATGTCCATCCGCCTGGCAGTGGACAGCATGAAGACATGGGATGTCTAGCGTTTGACGGAGATGACACCACCCCATGCATTTCCATTCCTTGTAATTCCATTCCTTGTAATTCCATTCCCCATAGTTCTGTCAATGGAGAGGCCTGTGTGATGAAGCGGCCACATCTGCATTCAGCGGCCACATTTGGTCGCCCTGTAGCAGTGGTTGCATACGTGCAAATCACAAAACCTCAGAGACTCAGAACAGAAAGTCCACTATTGTGGTAAGATGTGGTAAGAGTTTTTTTCGCTAAGTTGTAGCATGGAAAAGATGGTCCATGGATAGGTTTGCTGGTGTCACTAACGAGACGGACTTCTTTGCACTTGAACGTGATGGACAGTTTGTTTGACGGTCATGGAAGCTGCATGCATACTTGTACAAAAAGTATTGCTTTCACTTTCTGCTCTCCTTGCGTGCTTCTCTTGTCTTCTTAGCCTTCTTAGCTCATGTGAAGTCCGTGAATTTGCAGTCAAGCCAGAATTTTCGGGATATGAAGCGTGGGTGCACATGCAAAGAGGATTGCCTTCAGGGCAAAAACCCTCACTGAGAATCTTTTTGGCATAGGACTTCCCAGATAGCATGTCATGAGGACTTGCAATGCATTCATGAGAGATTCTAATTACGTTACTATAGTTCTAGCATGTTCTAGCTTCCATCTATCAGAATCGAAGCACCAGCTCTCACACATTTTCCAAACGACTTCATACCCCAGAGGTGATACAGGTCTTCACAGTACAACCCCGAAAATCCATCCACTGACATCCACTGACATCCACTGACATCCACTGACATCCACTGGTCCCAGCATCCGCCTGGCCACGGTGGTGCCGAGTCAACCAACAGGGCGCCCTGCAGCGCGATGGATAGATTGGTTTCAGATCACGTACTGTGTATACTGTGTAACATGGTATTTCAATAATCATCAATAACTGTCAATAATCATCAACGTCTGTGAATAACTAATCGATAAATGTCAATAACCATGAATCCAACAGCTGGGCGGTGTGAAAAGAAGACAAGGCCTAAGGGTGGGCCGTGAATTTACTGAAGATGCACAAGTTTACTGAGCGTAAAGTGTCACAGTCTTCTTCACCCAGCCTCCTTGCCGAGCCCATTCCCTGGCATGGACAAACGGGGTAGATGTGTGTAAAGTGGGAGAATCATCTTGAAACAAAAGCTAAAGTAAAAAGGATTTGACCAAGTGGCAAAAAAACTGTTGCACGCAGATACACATCTCCAGATCTAGATGTATAGAATTATTTAATGAGTGACATGTGCAAACTAATATACATATACATTATATATATATGTACATACGTATAATATATATATAATATTATATTATATTATATAATATATATATAATATTATATAATATTATATATATATATTATATATATATTAGTCCTGTGTAATTACACAACACCTCCAAATCCTCCAAACCTAGATGCCTCACGCACGCAAACACACCACTGCATACCTACCATTACATTGTATACAACTATGCAGCTGCATGCCTTTGGGTACAATTACATATCGACCAATACCATTCCATACTATCATGCCACTTCATCCTGTTGCCAACCAGTCCACTGCACAGAATGGCACGGGATGACATTGCATCAAGTTGCGCCAAACAACGTTGCTTATGCTTTTAAGACTGCATGTTTAACCACACCACAATACATTGCATTACCTCAGATAGCATTGCATAGATTGCCTCATCCTACAGTACATCCCACTGCCCTAGATTTCAAATAATTACAGTTATGGTTATAGATGGTTATAGTACCTAGAGTTCTACATAGTTTGACCATGGCACGATGTGTCGGGTGAACTCTACCCGCGCCGCCTGAGGGAAGAGGCGGCAGCCTGGATGAAGACATCGAAGACATCTGAGGCACCGCACCTTGGGAATCGTCCAACGGCCAAATGGCCCAGCGGAACAACGGAACAACGGGGAATGGAAGGAATCGACGTGGAATTGACCCACCAAACTGGCCACGCCTTTGGTCATTTCTTCGATCATTCTTTCAGTCATTCGGTGGGTCCCTTGTGGTCCTTCCTTTGGTCATTCTTTTGAAATTCTGTTGGCTATTCGTAGTAATTATTCAACCATCCAATTTTGTGAAGAGGTGAACAATTTTGAGCCATACTCACCTGGCGACAACACAAACTGTAAGGGACCCTGCAAAGTGCTGCGAGGGTGGTGTATCAGCTTCAAAATTTCCTAGAATGTGCATGATGGACATTGCGAAAACAATTCAAGAACAGTTTTCAACTCAGCCGTTGTGGTGGCAAGCTGCTGTGTGAATCAAATCAACTGAGTGCGCAGCGGTCATGGACAAGGCACCAATCGGTCTTGAAGGACCAATCGACGCAAATGTTCAATTGACATGAGAGGAAGGCAGTTGGAATTGAATTGGTGCTGATACAAGTCCCCGCGCTCATATCCTTGCAAACATCCTGGACTTGGTATGAAAAGATCTGAATCTGTCAACAACAAGATCGGACGACCAAGTGTTTCGCATGTTTCTGTTTTGCACGTTCAAGCTTCTACGGCATGTAAGCCAAACAAGTACGCAAATGAACCAAAGGGCAAAAGGCTTGCAAGAGAACCGAAGTTCTTGCGCTGAATGCATTGAACATGTTCAAGAAGAGTCGCAAACTTACAGAACAGCAGCAAATTCCCATTTGGGCGTTCTCACCTTGCTGCCAGTGTGAATACGCTCCTAAAAACGCCCTGTGTCTGTGAAGAAATCGGTATGCCACCTCACACTTGCAGTCTGTGCGGAAGCAACATCAGTGGTCATGGTCTTGGGCTGCTACTTTGGCTTCAAGCTGATGTAGCATCGTTGCATTTGTGTTTTAGATTTTTTGCCCCAAAACCAATCGTTCTTCCATCTTTGACAATTTGGACCGTAGCCACTTCCGAAACTGCATTGAGGATTGGGTGTCACTATATCACTCTGAAGCAATGGAGGTGACAGAGAATGTTCCACAGAAGGCAGAAATACAACAATTGCCATTGTCTTCATGACTTCTTCACCAAGTTTTCAAAGTTGAGAAAAAGTTTCTGTGGACTGCCAGCTCCGAAGAGAAGCTCAAGCGAACTCACATGATGGCGTTTGTGCACGTGGAGCAAGTCAAGTGATTAGCTCCCAAGTATCAGAAAAGAAAGGTCATGCCAAGTCATGCTTGATGGATTGTTTGCTCATAGACCTCTTAAGAAACAATGCAAGACCTCTCTTTTGCCGATGTAGACTACAACGTATGGTCAGGCACTTTTCACAGATCCCGACACGTCATATCAAATTCGTTTGGGGGCAGGCACACATGCAAATCATAGATGGATCCAAAGCTGTGGTTCCCTTTCACCTTTCCACCTTTCCGGCCTTCCCCAGACATTGCTAAATCACGGCCCGTGTCGGTCTTGGCCAGGCCAAGATGAAGCTGAGCCTTTTGCTCAGTCTCATTGTATTCTGAAAACTGGAAGAATTGCACAGCCCCTGATTCCGACGAAGATCTCCATTTTAAACACCTTCGCACCTTTTTATACTGAACTTCATACACGTTCTTGAAAGAGAGACTCGAGGCGTGCAAATGATCGTACAGATGTACTGACCCTTGTCAAGGTTGCATGAAATGAAGCAGCATAATTAATATATATATATATATAAAGATATATATATGGAGATATATATATATATATACATATAATCATATATATACGTATAGCACATATATAAACATTGAAACCACGAAACATCAACCTTGGGAGGGTAGACTGGACTGGTTGGCTTCCCAGCTACAGCAGCGGACGTGTTGAGAAGCATCGTCTCAGGTTTAGCAATTGGGCTCCACCCAGACGGATCCGCAGGAGTAGGTGAGTTGTGAGAGCCAGACTTAGAAACCGGTTGAAAATCAACAGCTCAAACAGCAGATTTCTAGCTCTACCAATTCAAGAACGGGTAAAATTTTGGTACACTAAGAGTTGGATGGAACTAGCGCTAGAATCCTTAAACAAAACAAACTAAGGCTTGGCCACTCCTTGCATAAAAGGAAACCGTAGTGGAAAAAATCTATTTGATCAGGGTCCGACAAACGTTGGGTACAAAATGACAACAAAGGAATAGTGAGCAGCAAGTGCGAATGTACTGCGCTCTGTCCCACCTTATAAAAGAAGTTTCTGTGACCAGTCTGCCTCTTTCATTCCCTATCTCCTGACCTCTGCCCGAGAGAGATACATTATGGGTATGATTTGTCCAACAATGCTGTCCAACAAAGAAGTCATCGAACAACAACAAAGCTTTCAAAGGATTTTGGAGGGAGCCGTCTGCTCGCCTTTCGAAGGAAAGGCGAGCTGGCGTAATAGACGTCGCGAGTTGGACAGCATCGACAAAACTGGACAACATCTGGGCATTTGATGCCTGCAGGCTCTATGCTGGCCGCGGGACTTATGGATCCAAGCAGGTTTGCTTTGGCTTGCTAGGATGATGCGAGCGCAACTTGTCACCATCTCAAGCAGTAATGGATCTTCAACTCAGTTTCAAAAGCAACACAATCATTCCAAGCACTTCCCCAGAGCAAAAACGTATGTGTCAAAGATCGGTAGGTTGAGGAATGGCTGGTCAAGTCATTTCAAACACACTTGGGATGATTGTGGCAGTTGAGTTGCAGATCGGCACTCTTCTCTGGACCCTACGAAGGTGTAGTCAGAGATGGAAGATGAGTGTTCTGTTGGAGGATCCACCAAATTTGCATATTTGTAAATAGTGAATTATTGCAAATTATTGCAAAGTGTCACATTTTTCCATCAGGACACAATGTGGCTCACAACCAGGGAAGGAAAGTGGAGAACGAAACCATTGGGGAAAAGACCGTTCTGATGCCTGATCTCTCAATTTCCGCACATAAATTTCAACACACGAATCCAAATTGCTTGAATGATGTGCATATGTATTTACAGTATCTACATATATATATATATATACACAAGATTGCATCGATAAAGCCTACTTATCCAGCTAAAAGCTACACACAAACACAAGGAATGCGGTTTTGATGCAAGTCTTGGTGGCCTTGTCCTGGATAATGATCTTACGCTGCATGACTCTGTCCTGTGGTTTTCATAATATATTGTGTATATATGTACGTGTATATATATATATATGATATATATATATGATATATATATATATGATATATATATATGATATATATATATATATATATATACATATACGTATATAAATATATTATGATATATTATATTATATCTATGAATATATCTGATGTTTATTTCACGATCGAGTTGTTGATTGCTGTTGTCCATTCTAAGTTTTCTGGGATCCTCCAGCAGCGGGCTCCACCCTTTGAACGTTCGATGTCCTAACTGGTGAACAGGTCTGGGACATGCATGAACGTCAAAGACTTCTTTTGACCTCAACTATCTTCTTTCAAGGTCTTTCAAATCTCGTTCACAAATCATTCCCATGTGTTTTCATTCAATCTTTGTGGCAGCAGCCCCATCGGCAGCACTAAAATCGTCTCTCACTTTTCTCTCTCTGAGCAAGATTGTCAGCCTGCGCCAAACACAACTGATAGTTGAGGTGAACTCTGTGAAGCCCTCATCGTCAAAGTCAAAACATGTCAAGACACTTCCTGCCTGTCATCACATTCCAGGTGCCAGTGGCACCCACCTCCAATGACGCTCTCACTCTGATGGTTCAGAAAGTCTGAGCAGAAAATGCAGAAAAGATCATAAAAGGCCCCATGTTTCTGATTCAGTGATTTCAGACAATTTTAGTGACTTTGAAAGTCCTAACAAACACAGCAGCCTTGAGGCAATTATTTATATAGTATATTATTGATCCCCGCATGTGCCCGCCTTCATCCTTCATGCCGTCAATGAGGAGATGTTGGCCAACACAACAGGCCTGCGCTGCTTCATCTTTGCAGTGTTCACCGCGGTCTTCTCGTAATGCGCCAAATTGGCCTATGACATGGCCAACTGAGTAACAACCAAGTCATTGAGACGGAAAATCTTGAGTGACCCCCTGCCTCAAGACCCTGAAGGTGAGCAGCTGATACGGCCGCCACCTTGCCAGACGTCTTGCGATGACCTGAAGCTTTGATGACAAAGATAACAAAGGCAGCAGAAAGTGCCGAGAACCCATCAGTTGTCACACACCCAAACACTTGGAGAGTTTCCGCATTTTGAAGAATTTGAACCTGAACCCAACATCTCCAACATGTGCATTTGCACAACCCTCGTGGGGAAATAATAAAAAATATATTTTAATTTTTGAGCAACCTGGGTAACTACTTAAAGCATTGGAAAACTCGTATGAACCATTGGAATCAAATCGCTGCACTTTGGAATTATCATGCCGTGCACGGTTTTGAACAACATGTCAAAATGTAGAGCCCTGATGGACAAAACAAAGGCCAACAGGTTTTTGCATATCAGCCCTTGTTTGTGTGCTGCTGGCACAACTCTTCCACGTGGCCGGTCACAAGAAGGTAACCAAACATTAAAAACACAACTGATACATATTTGACTCGTTTCTCTTTGGCGGCGAGATTTATCAACACCAGTTATTTGAAATAAGAATTCTACATACTATAGGTACTTACATACATTACATTACATTACATTGCATTGCATTGCATTGCATTGCATTACATTACATTACATTAATTACATTACATTATATGACATTACATACATACATCCATACATCCATACATCCATACATCCATGCATCCATACATCCATACATCCATACATCCATACATCCATACATCATACATCCATACATCCATACATCCATACATCCATACATCCATACATCCATACATCCATCCATCCATCCATCCATCCATCCATACATACATACATGCATACATATGTTCGTTTCTTTTTGTTTTTGCGGGGAGGTTCAAAAAAGATATAACGCACAATCTATATAGGTTTGTGTATACTTACCTATGTGCCGTTCTGCGAAAATTGCATTCATTTTTCTGGTTGGGCTCAGGAACTCATAATGTTGTTGTCGAGCGTGTGTGCGTTGGAAATCAAAGCAAAACAAAATAACATTATTTGAACAGTTTTGTTAGCTGTTTCTCGGTGCACACTCCGGACAAAATCCACTACATTTTAAAAACTTTAAAAAACGTTATCTTTTTGGATGTTTCCAGGGCCAGCTCAAAGAAAACAAATAGACAAAATAGGACAGATTTTCAGCGGCTTTTTAAGCACTTGTTTTCTGGGCCCAAATCCAAGCAACATATGAATGTCTGAAAAATGAAAGCAACATTGCTGGCAGGTTTTTTTGCGTGCCTTTTTCTGGTGCGATCTCCGCAAAACAAACCAAAACAGCTTTATTATGTCGCCCAATTTCCCATGACCAGCCCTCCAAAAAAAAAAACTATATATAAAATAGAATAAAATATAATATAATATATATATATTATACATATATATATATATATTTATATTATATATATATTATATATATTATATTTTATATATATATATAATATTATATATATAATATTATTTGTTCAATTTTTGTTGCCGCAGATTTTCCCGCGACCAGCCTTCCAAAAAAATAAACGCACACATAGATATATATATAATTATATATATATAATTATATATATATATAATTATATATATATATTGTTCAGTTAGCCAGCCCTCCCCTCCCACCCGAAAAAGAAAAACATACATTTTGTTAATTTTTTTGCCGCCGATTTTCCCGCGGCCAGCCCTCCAAAAAATATAAGTTTTTTAAAAATAAACTTATATTTTTATATATTTTTCTCATGTTTTTTTTGCCGCCGATTTTCCCGCTTCCAGCCCTCCAAAAATTATAAGTTAAAAAAAAAAAAAACTATATATTTTCAGTTTTTTTGCCGCCGATTTTCCAGTGACCAGCCCTTCAAAAAATATAAGTTTTAAAAAAATAAAACTTATATTTTTTCAGTTTTTTTTGCCGCCGATTTTCCCGCGACCAGCCCTCCAAAAAATGTATTTAAAAAAAAAAAAAGAACTTATATTTTTTTCAGTTTTTTTGCCGCCGAGTTTCCCGCTTCCAGCCCTCCAAAAAATATAAGTTTTTAAAAAATAAAACATATATTTTTTTCAGTTTTTTTTGCCGCCGATTTTCCCGCGACCAGCCCTCCAAAAAATATATGTTTTAAAAATATAAAACTTATTTTTTTTCAGTTGTTTTTTGCCACCGATTTTCCAGCGACCAGCCTCCAAAAAATATAAGTTTTTAAAAAAAAATAAAACCTATTTTTTTCAGTTTTTTGCCGCCGATTTTCCTGCGACCAGCCCTCCAAAAAAAAAAATTAGAAAAAATAAACTTATGTTTTTCAGTTTTTTTGCCACCGATTTTCCCGCGACCAGCCATCCAAAAATTATATGTTTAAAAAAAAAAAAAAAACTTATATGTTTTCAGTTTTTTTTGCCGCCGATTTTCCCTCGACCAGCCCTCCAAAAAATATATGTTTTTTTTAAAAAAAACTTATATTTTTTTAGTTTTTTTTGCCGCCGATTTTCCCGCGACCAGCCCTCCAAAAAATATATGTTTAAAAAAAAAAAACATATTTTTTGCAGTTTTTTTGCCGCAGATTGCAAACAATAGTCGGAAAGTTTTAAGTCCCCGGTCAAAAAAATATAATCCCGAAAAAAAATATAGTTTTTTATTGGAAAAACTCATAATTTACAACACCTTTTTGAGAAAAATTCATTCACATGAATCAGTTTTTTTAAAGGGAAATCCTACTAAAAAGCTAGGTTCAGATGAATGCACATTTTGTGGGGTTCCAAGATCAATGTTCTGAAATCAGCTGGGCTTGACCCCTGAAGAACTTTGTAGTGAATCTTTTTTGAGATGCCACTGATCTTGAAGACTTCAGTGGGATCTACTTAAAAGTCACTACAAACATCTACGTGATTTTTGAAGGGTCTCTTGAAGACCTCTTGTCAGATCCTTTGGATTTTGTAGTGAGCTTTTATCCAGGCTGGGGTTGCACTTTTGTAGTGATTTTTTTTGGCCTGGGCATGGAAAACGTAGTGATTGGGGTTGGGCAGAGCAAGTTTACAGCTACAAAATCTGGACCCAACAGTCCCCCCCAAATATCAACCCCGATAAAAATATAAGTTTTTTTAAAAAAAAAAAACTTATATTTTTTGGAGGGCTGGTCGCGGGAAAATCGGCGGCAAAAAAACTGAAAAAATGTAAGTTGTATGTTTTAAAAATATATATTTTTTGGAGGGCTGGTTGCGGAAAATTGGCGGCAAAAAATGGAAAGACTTGAGTTGCTGTGATGCTGTTTTGGAGCTGGCTCTGGGAAGAGACATGTTGAAAATGTACTGTTGTCTTAATTGCCAAAAATATAGATTTCTGTTGTTTTCATGTTTTTTTTGGGAAACAAATGGCCAAGAACATTGGGAAGCATTTATGTTTTATTGAAACTATAGTTACTGAAACTTTTGCTGAAAAAACTACGAAACATGTACTGTAAGTTCTTTTTTGAACAAACTATGATTTTGGAGCTGGCCGCAGGAAAAGATGCCCTAAACACCTGCCAAAAAATGTGGAGACCCGCCCCAGAAAACACAAAACATTGCCAAAACATTTTTTTGGAGCTGCCCCCCAAAAACGATTGCCGAAGAAGTGCCATATTGAAAGCCATATATATATATCAATTCATATATTTCTATAAATATTGCTTATATGTAATATAATATATATATATATTATATTAATTATTCACGAGCACGCCTAACTCTTATATTGAGTTCCTTTTCAAACCTTTACACTGCCAATTCCTTACCATTACGATCATACTTCTCTAACCCACAATATTGAGGTTTAAAAAATATAAGGGTCAAGAAAAATTTGAGGTTAGCAAAATCCACCCTTGTTGGGGTTAGGCAAGGATTCCTTGAGGTTAGCATAATAGCTTGTAAGGGTTAGAAGCGGGTCTCTTAGTTGTTGTCCGGCAGTGGTCAGTTTTTGTCACACAACTGCTGGAGCTTCGCCCAGTTCTTTTGGAATCAACCCCAAAAAAGATTATATATCCAACACAAATTCGGAAAATAACAATAATTCTTTATTGATGTGTTTTCAGAGCTCGCCTTGGCAGAAACCTATGGGCGACATGTTTGGGGTTTGTTTATTGTATTTTTCGCTGGTTCCGCCAGGAAACATGTACACATATGTACACATAGATTCATATGCACATGAACATTTCAATTCGGTTTTGTCGAATTCACGAAAAACAACGCACGGTTTTCTTTTTGGAAAGCGTTAAAAAACAACAAACAAATTAGCGTTTTTGGCTGTCTGGTTGATTTGAGCTTGTGGAATTATTCACAAAGGTTTGGATCCTTGAAAAACAGGAAAAAACGAATGTATGTATATAAACATATATGTTCTATGTTTCTGTTTTCAGGAACTTGACGCAATTGTGTTTTCTTATGTTTTTTCTTCAATTGCTTTAGGAATTGTCCACAATAAGAACCGAAGACAAACTCAATTACAACAGGTACTGCTGCTGCTTCAGCACAGGGGACCGAGAACTCAATCCCCAGTAATTTTTTAAAGGACAAACACGTCTCTAGGGGAAATTTAGATAAAATTAGTGGATTTACTCGAGTGTTGGAAACCACCTGATTTATTTTGTGCCCGTCATGGTCAGCAAGATTGCGGAAATATAATCAATTTCTGAATATGTTCGGCAATATAAAACCATAGGTTGTGCAAATTGGCACTCCAACAGTTGGAATGTTTCCAAGCCACGCTTGAAGCGATAGTTGTGAAAGGCTTCAATGCACTTGCTGGCATACTCATGGCTCTTGAAGTTCACGAAGGCATAACCCACATTCGACATGGTGCCCTTGTCCAGGGGGCTGTAGAGGAAGTCAAAGGTACCGGCAAAGCCCAAGTCCTCCAGCTCCGAGATCAGCTCCCGCTGGGTGTAGCGATTCGGGATGTTGCGGATCCTGGGCATGTGGAACCACGTGGAATCATGGAACAAGACTTGTGAAGATAGTAAGAAAAATGTAAGAAAGTACCTGCAGGGATACCTCAAAGAGATTCAGAAAGCACGGCACCGCAAAGCAAACATATGTAAACATGTCCAGCGTAACATCTGCATCTGAGTCCAAGACATCAAGGTGGTCACCTCCTTCTCCTTGCTTTGGTACTCCTCTTGCAAGTTCACGTTTCTGGGCACCCGGTTGTGGCGGCTGTCCCTTGGCAAGTTGCGCTTGTCCTTGTTCATGCCCCACTGGCCTTGACTCGTGCAGCGCAGGGTAGCAATCAAAGCTCTTCAAGGTCACACCCAACTGATGTAAAAGAAAGGACAGTTTTCAAACTCTACCAACAAATCTGGCAAGAGTAAAAGCGTCTACCAAAAGCCAAAAGTGCATGCAAATTCTCTACCTGTCCCAAAGATTCTCAAAGTGCAGACTGGTCACCGTGCATCATGTCTTTTGTGAACTTTGGAGATGGCGTCGGAGTCGTGAAAGTCGAACCCATCATGCTTTCACCCGAAGAAGAATCTTGCCCCCAACTGTCCCACCTCTGACTCTTGTTGTAGGCATAGTTGGGCTTGCTTGCAAAGTCATGATTGCGTTTGGGTTTCCACTTTGCTGTTTCATGGTACTGGCCATACGACCATGTCGAATGCCACGGATTTGGGCGATAAGGCTCTTCTTCGATGTTCATGGTCATCTGCACAGTTTCCTGTTTGAACTCATCCGTCTGGGTGCTGATCGATCCATTCGATGTGTCATTCGAGCTTGCCCTTGAGCGGTTGGCCTCGAAAGAAGTCATAGTGCTCACTGAAGAGTTTGACAAACTTGGCCGAATCTCCGTGTCCTCTCCAGGCACCGCAGTGCTCCCTGTCTCCGACGACCACTTGCGCGTGCGGTCAAGCTTGTCGTCCAGCTTGTCTCGAAGCTGCATCAACTGTTCGGGGCTTGGAGGACGTTTCGGTGAAGCATCTTTGGGTGGCGGAGCATCTTTCATTGGTTCAACGTCGGCTTCCTTTGGCGATGCAGAGATCGGAGCTCTTGCGCTGCGAACAGCCTCCTTCGAGAGTATCTTTTACAATCAACAGGATTACTTGTCGCGGCACAGCTCAGTCTGAAGACAAACGCAACCAAAAACGTCTGGCCTAAGCATTTGTTCTGTTTTTGTAGTTGTAAAAAGCAGTCATGGGTCGGTCCTTGTCATCTTGCAAGATCTTCCCCAACTTCGACATCTGCACCGCAGCCTGGCAGGGACCCGACCAAGAAAAGAAATGTTCGCTGTATGGTTCCATCATATGTTCCATTTGATGCTTCGAAACTGGTAAGATCTGCTAAGGATTGACTCCCAGAAAACAGAAAAAGACTGGCTGACTGGCCTTGTCGTCATGGTTCGTCATACGCTCCATGGATTTTGAGCGACTGCATCCCCGACTGGATACTTCCGTACCTTAGGTCGAACACAGCTCTGCATCCGCTATGTTTCCACTTCAGGCAGAGCAGAACAATGATCTAATTGAAAATTTCATCATGATTTCGACTCGACTATCTATCTATCTATCTATCTATCTATCCTATCTAATCTAATCTAATCTAATCTAATCTAATCTAATCTAATCTATCTATCTAATCTATCTATCTATCTATCTATATGATCTATCAAGCTCATGAGGAGAGAGTCAGTGTTCATCAACCTCCTTGCAGGCTAGAGCGGTTGAGCCACCGTCAGTCTCCTCATCAAAAGCACAGTGGACGAAGGTATTCTTTACTGTCACAGAAACTTTCATCATCTTGCTGCAGCACAGTGTACTTTGCCAAAGACGCTTGCCAAACGTCAGTGGCTTGAGCCACAAAACAGAGACCGTTGATGTGACACAGATGTTACAGCAAACCACTCCGAGTCCTAGAGCAGAATGACTGAGTGACAAATAGAGAAAAAAATCTACATAAGCATTCTGGACATGAATATCGAACAATTTTAATCAATGCTCAAGCAGATTTCACCCCACGAAAAGCCAACAATCATGCTGCAGCGCAACTTTCTGCTTCTACGCCTTCGCAGCCTGCGAGGCTGCCGATCGCTATGTGGAAGCTGAAGACAAGAAATACAAACGCTATATGTACAACAAACAACGTCACAGTTAGCCTCACGGGCCCATGAGGACTCAGACGGAGGCATGTCAGTGCATTCCATCAAAGTTTTTGTCCAGCAACTGAGTTCGTCCAAGTCATCACCACAAACCTACAGGGATTTTTTGACGCGATGGATACATGGTTGACGTGTTCATGAAACAAGCAAGAAACAATTGTGATCAATTGTGCAAAAAAGGTAATGTGGGAAAAATACACTACACTTGCCAAGCTACCCAAAATTCATGCCCACTCCCCTCCAGCGCCGGACATGCACAAACATCACAAACCAAATGTTCTAAAGCAGCATGTTTCAGCTCAATGGCAGGATACATCAAAGCGCAACATACAGCGCAAGTTCGCTTCTCTTCTGGTGGAGCAAGCAGTGGTTTTAAGGCAGATGTCACACTACCACGGGCAATTTGGTGGCCATGTTGGCCATCAGAAACTGGTCGAAAATATTGAAAATTGTCCCCAGGCAAATCCTTGGGTGCATTGACTATTGTTTTTTTTTGCCTCTTTGGCCGAGGAGATTGGTCGTCACCCCCGATTGCAGTTTGTGGATGCATGTTGGTTTTCTCCGGTGCTTGCATGGCAGACACTTCATGTTCCAGCAAAAAAGTGCCAGTCCCAGTGGAAATTTCCGTTCCATGGTTAGTTTCTTGGTTGTCGTCACTGTCTGGAACTTCAACTTTGTCCGTCATCTCGAGTTTGGCCCAGTGGACAATTTCTTCGGACGGGTCCCCGGGAATCCTCCAATAAATGTCGCATTTGTGCAAAGAAGCTCTGTACTCGCCAAGCACCAATAAATTGTCGTCCTTCAACGTCAAAACAAAATGGGTGAAATATTGAACTGATTTCATGATGTTTTGAAAATTGGTCCAATCATTTCTCAAGCCGACCAGTCCTTCGTGCGAAACAGGTCAAATTGTTGGTCCAGATTTGAATAAGACACTTTGCAACCAATCACAGTTGCAACGCCGAATTGACCTGCATCCCATTGTCCCTGCAGCAATTCCTGCGCGTATTCAGGCACAGTTATTCAGACCCGCTCTCCCACTCACACAAAAGTATACTCACCCACATGTGAAAAATAAAACTATGTCACATACGCATTTCAAAAATCACAGGACGCAATCACAAGCAATCACACATTTTTCAGGATATTCAAAATTGCATTTGTTTGATTCCGTGTTCAAAAAATAAGCACCTGCTCATGTTTTTCAAGTGCAAGAAAGGATTGTTCTTGCCCCGTCGTCGATTTGGCGGCATTGCTCTCCAATTTGAAGGCAAACATCACCGAATAGTTTCATTGCACACAACGTCTGGTTTTGGAGGCAATAATCGTACTGGCAACATCTGCAAACTGTCAGTGGGCAAATTCAAATGTGTGATCATTATAAATTATCGAAACTCCGATTGTTATGGTGCAAAAAGGACAACAAACACACAAATCCGTTGATATTGACCCCAATTCACCTCCTGTAACATGGTTTGACAAATGCACGAAAAACCTTTTTCCCTGGTGAACATGTTCAATTCCGATCTAACCATGTTCCATAGATACATTTTTTTGGTTTTGAAACCAATGACTCTCGGCCAAATGCAGCGCTGCAAAATTTGTTCGATGGCAACCCCGCAATCACCTCGTTTGAAAACACGACCTGAAAGGGCGACCCTTAAAAATGTTGATGGACACGTAATAAGATTTGTAAAACAACCCCTTGACAATGAACAAATACACGGATGCATTGTTGTAAAACATCCCCCTTCTAATTAGAAGCTGAAGGTGGGGGGCGCCAATTTATAAGAAAACCCTTATGAAATGAGAGATCCATGGCACCAAAAGTTTATAAAATGGCAATTATCCAACCTACAGCAATATAGGGGAATAACAATTAGCATTTTATAAAGAAAACAAAAAACTTATAAATTGCGGTATCATGGTTACCAAAATCGCATAAAAATCTCTTACATCCCTTGAGTTCATATTATATGTTGGGTTATGAGGACTGCAAACTCCATTTTATAAGGTGGGAGTCGAAATTCTATTAATTTATACTAATTTGGTGTCAGATAGAATTGAAGGTGACAAACTGTCATTCTATAAGGCACCTCCAGGGCATCTTATAAGAACAAAAACTGTGCAAACCTGATTTCTCCGGGTATGTTTTTCTCAGTTTGTGCTGGTAAAACCTGTAATTATCAAAAGGTCAAGCTCGTTGAGGCAATGCTGAAATGAAAACTGCAGTATCAAAGTGCACAACTGAAGTTGAAAACTGAATCCACAAGAATGCACAGCTGAAGATGGAAGCACGTTCTGTTTTCAGCGGGGTTGCTCGATCTGGCATCGACGGCTGGGTTAGGCAGACATGTTGTCCACCAGAGCTTTGGACATATGGTCCGCAAAGACACTGCAAACTTGGTTTGGAGAAGTACTGGGCCACCAGGCTGAAATGCGCTGGGTGGTTGCGGGTGGGCGTTTTTCAGCCTGAAGTTTTTGTCTGCCCCCCACAACCCACCACTTGAGAAAAAGGCAGCAGTGGATGAAATCAAAGCATTGCCCGCAACAACTCCTTGTTGCTGTCAAACTCACAATTGACTGTTTGATCCCTACGGGATCTTCACCGTCAAGCTCGTTGAGGCAATGCTGAAATGAAAACTGCAGTATCAAAGTGCACAACTGAAGTTGAAAACTGAATCCACAAGAATGCACAGCTGAAGATGGAAGCACGTTCTGTTTTCAGCGGGGTTGCTCGATCTGGCATCCCCCTTTTGTAACATCGAGCACCTACTTTGGCAGCGATTGCAAAATCTCGTTGAACACTTGTATCGCTTCTGCAGAAACATCGCATGAAGGGCCCAGCATGTCATGCGACTGTCCTCGTGATGGCCAATCACTTATGTTGGCTTCCGTCGGAACCCTGGCATACCATGTGCGAAGCCCGCAGTCAGCTTCCACACGAAGCTGGAGTTCCATTAACGCTTGGCTGTGGCCACCAGATGCTGTTGCACGAATAAGAGAGAAGCGCACTCCATCGTTGTCTCCAAAAATCACATGTAAAGCTTCCTCCTCTGGGCTGCACCACAGCCGTGTGCCCAGCACGGTAGCAAAAAGTTCCAGCTCATAAATTATGGTCCCTTTCTGCTGCGCCCCCAGTTGGACGCATGTTTCAGTGTCAAGCTGTATACCAAACCACGCACAAACAACCGCATCCTCGTTTACCAAGACGCCACCCAATCCACCTGTGCAAGAGCCAGCTTCAAAGCTAGCATCTGTGTAAATGTACCATTGTTTCAGTCTGAGAGCAGTTACTTTCCTGGGCTTTGCAGAAGACAAGCGTTCTGACATCGCCTTCAATGAGACGATCAAACTGGGATCCAGTTTTTTGGATGGACCATATGCGTGATCCACCAGATGCTTCAACGTAAGCTTACCAACCCGTCCATGCATGAAACTGTCTGCAAATCCCAGGCGGCCTCTCAAAGACAGCGTTTCTTGTTTTTCCAGTGTGCCCCGACTTAAAGCGGCATCAATCTGCTGTAACAACTCTTGCCTCCTGGCTTCTGTATTGCTGATGGTCATAAGACCTGACTCTGAACGACTGAAATCAAATTGTACCACAAGCGCCTTGCAAACAACATCAAATTGGGTGGCTTTTGTTCCTTCTTGAGCATAGACCCAACCGGTCAACATGAAAACCAGCTCCATGCTGCTGCGTGCTGAAGCAGTAAGTTGAGCTTTGGAGGCCAAGATAAAGTCGTCATAAAAGTTGGTACATAAAAGAAACAAACCCTCAGTCGCAATGGCGTAGAGCACACGCGCCAACCTCAAGAAACAGTACACGCTATGCGTGGCTCCAAACGGCATGGTTTTCAACCTGTAAATTTCTGTGCACTGCCGCTTGTGGTTATAGACACTGAAGTAGGAGTACTTGTAATGCGCAGGTTTGACTGGTACCTGACGGTACGCACTCTTCAAGTCATATGTCTTTGCTAGGAGGCTTGAGCCTTTGCCAAACTCTGCACAAGAACGGAAGTAGAGCTTCACCAAGGAACAAAAGGTATCAATCATGTGGAGGTCCAACTTGTTGTGTATCTCGCAGCTGTCATTTACGCCAGAAATGCTGAAGTCATCGATCATGCGAGTTTTGCTCCCCTGGACCAAGGGGAATCGCCTGGACACTGTTGCGCCAGGCTCCAAATCCTCCAAAGAAAAAGGGCCATCTGCCCAGCCCTTCTCAACTTCAAGCAGCGTTTCAGCTAGGAGCTGTCCATCCACTTCAGCTACGCCCGAACTGGACGTCATACGCACCACTGCCTCATTCATCTTGCTGGCGTTGGCAGACAGCTGGTCCAGGGTCGTCAAACAAGGTTTGTACTGGGCTTCAAAGGACGGGGACTGCTCAATTTTCCCTGCCAAAGTACCGCCCTCTGAGAGCAGCTTCAAAGCACCGACATCCTCAAACTTGATGTCCTCCAAAATCTCTTTTGTAAGAAGTAACCTTTTGCTCTGAGTCAAGCGAGCCACCTCCGGATGTCTAGTCAAAGCATCAGCCCGCTCAGCTGCCTCCAACTCTTTTGCCCTGGCAACCCATTTTCTGCACCATGCAACTCTGTAGGCCACAAGCTGTTCATCTGTCCAATGCATGTGCTTCTCAACTGCTGTCACTAGTTCTTTTGGCACTCCACTGTCCCGCATTGCCGGGTGACCAACCCTGCACGCCTGTTCAATGAAGCCTCTGTAAGACCATGGGAGTCCAAACGCAACTTCAAAGCCGAACTGCAGTTCTGCTTTCTTAGCACCATCCACATCTCTTTTGCAGGGTAAATCCATTGGCAAGTTCTGCACCATCTCACCCCCATCTGAAGCAGAAATTGCAGAAAAACGCAAAACCGGCTGTATTGTGGAACCACGACCGGTCTGCCAGCCTTTGTAAACAGTTCAACATCTCGTGGCAACTTTGACAGGAGAGAGCATGGTATGTCCTCCAGAGTTTTTGCAAAGAAAACACCAACGGAACATGTATCCGCAACCACTGGCGGGATGCGGGCTGGTCTAGGTTGCAATCCCACACTCATCTGCGATTGCTGATGAACTTGCAAAGGGTTGAGGGCATCCTCCAGAGAATTTGCCTTCAACGTCAAGCCGCGTGTTTCCAGAAACTCTAACGCTATTGTTACCAAGGCCATGCACATCTTTTTGGGGTAGCGCGACTCCAGTGATGTCGCCCAAATTTGCTTTCCATCTGCATCTCGTGCAAAGCCCCAGGGCTCGTGAGTATGCCGCCTATCACAGGCGATATTCAGTGCAAGCAATCCTGGAAAATTTCCAACAATTCTTGTCCACTTATCTCTCGTGCCGCCCAACATGCAAACCTGAAAATCTGCACAAAAAATGTCCCAGGCTCGCATCAATGCCAAGACCTATTTGGTCAGCCAAAAATAACTACTCTTTGGGTTCTCCATCGTTACCAATATTCCTAAGGAACATGCAAGGTGGAAGAGCTTGCAAGAGTACGCAAAAAGCTGGTTGGCGATCTTCACCCTTTCAGCGTCTTTCGCTTGGAGATTGCTTAACCCTTCAGGTTCAGTATTGTTCCGTAAGGGCTGAGGATCACCCTCAAAACGTCTGATGTCTCTTGCCCTTGAGGCAGTTCCACAAACTGGGGCCAAATGTAGCCACACTAACAAAGGGGACTGCAGCCATTGCTCCAGTAAGGCTTGGTGATGTTCGTTGCAAAGGTCCAGCTGTAAAATGGTACTGCGACAAGACCTTTTCTTTGTCTTGTCCACTGCTATTGAAGAGCTCAGGCCAGCTTGTTTGGCCGTTGCACACAGTATTGCAATGCCAGAGAACACCTCAACCATGAAGCATTGTTCTACAAAAACACCATCCCAAACCTTATGGTCAACAGCTGCAGGGATTTGTCATTTGGCTCCATGCTGCTGTAATGAGTGCTCAGCGCCGCAACGTGGCTCTGCACAAATGTGAAAGCCTTTGGAGCAGCGAGCTCCAGGCTTTACCCCTTTCTCCGGGCAACCTGACTTGCAATTGTACCCGAAGCATATCGGATCTCCTGTGGCTGTCTTGTGCCACTTTCCTCTCAACTCCTGAGGTACCGGAGGTCCAGGCTTTCCTTTGGCTTTTCCCTTTGATCCACCGCCTTTTCCTTTGCCTGATGCCGCCTGATTTCCATATGGCTGCGAGCGCCATTGCCCAGGCTGATGTGCAGCTGGACCGGAAGACTGACCTGTCTTAGGCAAAGGCGCCAAATGGAGCGTGATGATTGGATCACTGCGCAGCTCAAGCAAAGCCAGACCCAGGGGGTAAGACCCGTCTTCATGTTGACGGACTGAACTCAAAGTAGAAGCCAACCTGCTAAATGCTGCACGGTCGCATTGCAACAGCTGGGCTAAAGTTGGACGCCCATACCCTGGAGGAGGGTCACGGTGCAAGGCTTCAAAAAGAAAGGTTTCCCAAAGCGCATGCTGGGCATAGGACATCAACTTGGCAAATTGCATTGTCAAGCCCCTTCTCACCATTGCATAGTGAACCTTGATCTCTGAGTCTGTAGCGCTTTGCAACTTGTCATCAGTGTTCTTCATAACTAGCGACCCTCGTTCCAAAGTCAACTCTCGGTTCTTGGTTGTTCCCTGAACCTCTAGGGCTCTAGAAACGCAGCTGGCCAAGTCAAGGTACTTGAGGCTGTTTGTCTCGTAAATTGCACAATCGCGATCAAGCAAGCTGTGTGCAGGCTCATGCTCGCCTGTCACGCTGATGCCCAAGAGGGCATTCTTCAAGGCCTCCATTCTTGTCTGTCGCTCTGCAAAAGGAATCTTCCTAGGTAAGGAGTCTTCGGAACGATCAACTGCCATACGAAGTGTTGCAGTCAAGTAAGTCTGCGCCTCAAATGCCACCCTTTTGATGCATGAACTTTCCTGCAGTGTAGGCGCTCGCCCTGTAGCATTTTGAACAAGCTGCTCAATGCTAGCATCTAAAATTGGTTGACCTGGCTGTCCAACGCTAAAAGCCAACTGGGCAAGTGTACAAACACCATGAGCCTTCAAATCATCTATCAGTCTGGCAGGCAGTCCTGCTTCCTTCAACTGACTCTCGTACTGTGCAGCACTATCTATGAGAGATGTCATGGCTTCAAACCGCAACTCCTAAAAGAAAAATTCGAAAGAATTTGCAAGCAGTCAAAACTTTAATCACAAAACTCAGCGTCCAATGTCCTGATCATTGCCAAAATTACTCCTTAGTGTCTGAACTCCAGGCAGCGCTCTGAAAATCCTAAGGTTGCAAAGCAAAAGGTGGCAAACGCTCAACAATACCAATTGGACCTTAGTGAAACTTGTTTGTTGCATGATGCTTTCAACTCTCAACACCTTTGTGTCTTGTCAAGCTTTCCTGTCTCGGCCAAAAAAGGCTCAACACAAACGAAATAAACATGAGTGCCTCTGATGAAGTGCCTTTGCAACCCGGCTCTTAGAACAGCTTTCTGTGACATGCAGCTTCCTGCCAAATCTTGTGTTGATCACACAACTCAAACCAACGCAGCTTTCTGCACAACAATCAGGCTACTTCAGCCTCTCCTTTTCCGCTTTCGGAACACTGCCCCTTTGGGCGTTGTCTTGCCCTTTGGCACAAATGAACATGACATGTTAGTCACTAGCTGAGGACCGTGCTTTCTTGAGAAAGGCATCCAGGTTGTCAGCCATCTGCTGAACGCTGCGTATCCCGTCGCTGTCCTTTGGAAAGCAGCGCAAACACTTGGGATACTTGAAGTGAAACTTACGATCCAGTTTCTTGAAGTTTGCACCCATGCTCAACTTGCATCTTGAAGTGAGTTCATTTGACTTGCAACAATGAACTATGCCACTCTTGCAATGCTTGAAAAATTCTTGACCTGGCGGTACCTCTTCAGTGTACCTGACAAGTGAGTCGTTGGCCACCGGCACGGTGCTTGAACTATCGCTTTCAGTGCTAGAGCTACTGCTATCACTCCCAGAAGACGACTCTATCTCAACGACTCCAGCAGCAACCAACTCCACTGGAAAGAGTGTCAGCTTGTCAGCGGCTGACTCCACGAGGGAAGAGTCCAAGTCCTCTTCCTTGACACTTTGCTGTTCCTCCATAGCCACTGCAGCCTGGACGGCTTCTGTGACTGCGTCCATGCCCTGTGTCTGGGCAGGTTGATGGGACACTGCCACTGTGACGGCTGTGGGCCCCAGAGGCGTTCTCGCAGCACATGTGGGTGTTGCAGGCATAGGAGTCCGAATCAGCCCAAATTCACGCATCGCTTCATCTTCCAACGACAGTCCAGACCGGACTCGTCTCAAGATGTGCCCTAACTTGCGGAGGGCCCTGATCTGAAGCTGTCTGCTGTAAATCACCTCTGAACCGTTTAGGGCACTGCAATGGTGGCCCAAAACGGCACGACATTCCTTGTCCAATCCAGCACGTGCACACCATCCCAAGAGTGTGGCCTTCATTGAATGACTGCGGAAACTTTCAGATTGCTTTGTTCCATGTAACAGTGCACGTAGCCAATCTGCAGCTTCTGATGTCGAGAGGGGTCTTGCGCAAAAGGACCCATCCAAACGAGGCGCCGGCAGTAATGGTCCAAGAGGGCGACGATTGATGTCTAGACCAACCTGTGCATAGACCTTCAAGAACGTCTGCAACCAATCTTCTGTCACAATCCCTTCCCAGGGCACTACCAGTGGAAGGAACTGTTGCCTTCTAAGGCCAACTGCTGCTGTTTTGTGCTCAGTTGTATAAAAGGTGATACACTCATTTTCCTCAATCTCGGTCTTCTCAATAAAACGCAAGTCTGACCATCGTGCACGGCCGTAAACACAAATCAAAAAGCAGCCAGCTCCCAATCTGTCAATGATGTTTGCATTGCTGGCCAAAACGTCATGAAGCTTTCTGATGTGCTCCACTTCCATGCCTGGCGCTTGTCGGCTAGGGCCCATGGCCTGTTTTTCCAGGGCAGCAAAACCTAACAAGCGCTTTGATCCCAGAATGGCATCTGTGCCTATCAAATCCAGGGTGAACTTGGTGAAACGCACTGCCTCCAGAAAGGAACCAGGAATTGTGAAACCTTTGACTGCAATCTGTCTCTGTTGTCGCAGCCATCCAAAATATTGCCAGACCATCTCTTCATCCAGAGGCAGTGGCCTCAAATGAATATCGCCTCCCATGCCTACCTTGTCAAACCAGCTAATGTACTTGCGAAAAGCACCAGCCCTCTTCAGCAGGGTTGACGGGCTCTTGACTCCAAAGCATGATTTCAAAATTGTAATAGCGTCAGCTCCAGTTGCATCACGTTGTAATGCAGTCACAATCTGAGGCCCAACTCCAGATGCACTCCACTCCAATGACAGAATGTTCAGCCACTGTGCACAGGCTAAATCAAGCTTCTGAGTTTTCGATTCGAAGTATGTCATGTCTTGTAAACTTTTAACAGCGTGTGTGTACTTGGCTTCACGAGGCATCTGAAAACGTTGAACCTGGACTTGCAAATCTGTTGAGGTCCCTGCACCACTTGACACGTTGCGTTCTGGTAGCCCCGGACAAGTAGGAAGCGGGTCTTGCTGAAAATCAAAAATGTCAGCCAGGATGCCTTTTTCCCATGGAAAACGCAACATGTCATCCAGTTGTCTGAATTGTCCAAAACTGCTTGCAACCATCTCTGACCATGCTGACTGTGACACACTCGGACCTGTTGAGCTCAAGACGTTGGCAGGCTCCTGCTGTCCCTGCTCCGGCTCATCCACTAGCTCCACAGACTCTTCAGTTGCAACATCATGGAAATCAGACTGGACTGCGCTATCAGATCCTGCAGGCTCAAACGGCAAGGAATCATAAGGCCCCAGCTCGCTGTGCTTTGCCAAACCTTGTGTAGGTGCGTCACCGAAACTTGGCTCTGCACCATCCTGCTCAGTCGATCCTTCTGCAGCACAGGCAGTTGAAGACTGTCTGGTGAACCTATGAAAAGAATGTTCAGAAGTGACAAGGTCAATTGCTCTAAAAGGTAAATGCAAAGCACCACTTTCTACTGCTGAGGCCTCAAGCTCTGCGCTGTCAGCAACACTGGCTTCATATTCACCACTGTCTAACCTATCCAGGTTATCCTCATCACACATGGCATTCACTAAGCTAACTACGCAACACCGACAGCAAATCCCCCAGTGCCGTTTTTCGCCTGAAGTTTTTGTCTGCCCCCCACAACCCACCACTTGAGAAAAAGGCAGCAGTGGATGAAATCAAAGCATTGCCCGCAACAACTCCTTGTTGCTGTCAAACTCACAATTGACTGTTTGATCCCTACGGGATCTTCACCAAATTGTTTATATTGCAAAGATTTGCAAAGTAAGTGTACCTTATATAATGGATATTCAATAAAAACAAACATGAATCTTGCACGCATGCAATAAGTTTTTGAAACATTATAAAATGGAAAATAGTGACTCAAGGTCACAGCTGCAACAACAAGCATAATATAAGAAACCAAAACAACTTACTACCTGCACCAGTTTGGGCCTTATGAAATGCCAAATGCCAGTCATACTGTCTTTTATAACCCTGGGCGGCCTGCCTGATATAGAATGATAATCGTACTTTGTGGTAAGGATGATATGACATTATTGTCATTTTATATTTGCATAATATTACATATAACTACTATATACATCTATATGCATCGTTGTGCATCTAGATACATGTATATTATACATGTTAACACCTTTATACATCTAATATACGTCTAATATATAAAAAGAAGTACGAGAACATAGAATACATAATTTTGAAAAATAGGTTTTGGGGCATCTTCCAGAATTGAAAAAAAAACGGTGTACATAGAATATCCCAGGAGTGTACATAGAATATTTTTAATTCTGGAAAATGTTTTTTGTTTTTTATTATCAAAATTCACCCGTACTGCAGCATAAATGGACATAAATGGACATTGTTCACATTTTCATCGCACTAAAATCCCACTCCACACACCACACTCTACACTCTACACTTTACACTCTGCACTTTACACTCTACACTCCACACACTACACTGCACATTGCACACGCCACACTTGACCCACTGCACACTCCACACTTTACACTCCACACTCCTCACTCCACGCACTACACTCCACACTCCACACTCCACACTCCGCAACACTCCACACTCCACAACACTCCACACTCCACCACACTCTACACTCTACACACACCACACTCCTCACTCCACACTCCACACTCCTCACTCCTCACTCCACGCACTACACTCCACACTCCACACTCCACACTCCACACTCCACACTCCACAACACTCCACAACACTCCACACTCCACCACACTCTACACTCTACACACACCACACTCCTTACTCCACACTCTACACTCCACGCTCACACTTTACACGCCACACTTTACACTTTACACTCCACACTCCACACACCACACTCCTCACTCCACACTCCACACTCCACACGTTACACTCCACACTTTACACTTTACACTCCTCACTCCACACTCCACACTTTACACTCCACACTTTACACTTTGCACTTTGCACTTTACACTCCTCACTCCACACTTTACACTCCTCACTCCACACTTTACACTCCACACTCCACACTTTACACTCCACACTCCACACTCTACACTCCACGCTTTACACTCTACACTCTGCACTCTACACTCCACACTTTACACTTTACACTCCACGCTTTCCACTTTACACTCGTCACTCCACACTTTACACTACCGCTTTACACTTCACACTCGACACTTTACACTCCACACTCCACACTTTAGACACTGCGCACTCCACACTCCACACTCCACACTTTACACTCCACACTCCACACTCCACACTCCACCACACTCTACACTGTACACACACCACACTCTACACACACCGCACTCCACACTCCACACTCCACACTTTACACTCCACACGCCACACTTTACACTCCACACTCCTTACTTAACACTCCGCACGCCACACTGCACACTCTACACTTTACACTTCACACCCCACACTCTGCACTTTAATCTCCACACTTGACACTCGACACTTTACACTCTACACTCCAGATTCTACACTTTACACACTCTACACTCCCTACTCCTCACTTCACACTCCACACTCCCCACTTTACACAAAGTTTGCACAAACTACTTCCCAGTACTACTGTGTATCACAAGGCTTGCACACAGTCGACTGGCGCAACAAAATCACCAGCACAAACGAAATTTCCAGCACAACGAAATCACCAGCACAACAACATCACCAGCACAACAACATCTCCAGCACAACGAGATCACCACCACCTGCCACACTCCACACTTTACCCACTGCACACTCCACACTCCACACTCTACACTCCACACTCGACACTTTCCACTCCACCCTCCACACTCTACACTTCACACTCCACACTTTACACTTTACACTCCTAAATCCACACTCTACACTTTACACTCCAAACTTTACACTTTACACTTTGCACTTTACACTCCTCACTCCACACTTTACACTCCACACTTTACACTCCACACTCCACACTCTACACTCTACGCTTTACACTCTACACTCCACACTTTACACATAACACTCCAAGCTTTCCACTTTACACTCCTCACTCCACACGCCACACTCGACACTGTACACTCCACACTCTACACTGCACACTCCACACTTTACACATTGCACACTCCACACTTTACACTCCACACTCCTCCTCCACAACACACCACAACACTCCACACTCCACCACACTCTACACTCCACACACACCACACTCCTCACTCCACACTCCACACTCCACACTTTACACTTTACACTCCTGACTCCACACTCAACACTTTACACTCCACACTCTACATTTTACACTCTACACTCCACACTCGGCACTTTCCACTCCACACTCCGCACTCTACACTCTACACTTTACACTCCACACTCCTCACTCCACACTTTACACTCCACACTCGACACTTTACACTCCACACTCCACACACTTTACACTCTACCCCTTAAACTCTACATTCCACACTTTACACTTTACACTCCACACTCCGCACTTTACACTCCACACTCTGCACTTTACACTCTACACTCCACACTCCACACTCGACACTTTTCCACTCCACACTCCACACTCCACACTCTACACTTTACACTCCACACTTTACACTTTACACTCCTGACTCCACACTCAACACTTTACACTCCAAACTCCTCACTCCTCACTCCACACACTGCACTCCACACTCCACACTCCAGACTCCACAGACTCCACCACACTCTACACTCGACACACACCACACTCCTCACTCCACACTCCACACTTTACTCTCCACACGCCTCACTTTACACTCCACACTCCTTACTTTCAATTCTCCTGTTAAGTACGAAAGTCTGTATATATACCGAAACCCCCTTTGCGCGTAATAGGTATCATAGACTTGCAGGGGAGCGCCTCCAAAGGTCCGCTCGCAATTCTTTTCAAAACATCTCTCACTTGCTCGCAAATCAAACGCACGTCGAAAAACAAAACTTCGCCAAAAAACCAAAAAGTGCACATGCCGACATGTTGAACTCAGATTAACAAGTGACAGCTGCACAAGTGGAAACAACCGGAAAAATTCAAGACTGCACTGAAAAATGAAAACACTGTGGATTCAGGAAAGATGATACGCTCGGACAAGCTCTGTTCTTTTTCTGCTGGCTTGCTTAGCAAGGAGTCCGGGGTAAATTCGAAATGGTAGTTTGGCACGAGGCTTGCATCCATCTGGAAAAACGCAGGTTTTCTCAAATATCGACCATTCTGGTTACGACTTCTGTTGTGTATACCAGCTGGTCACCGATTCACCCCCCCGAAAATTGGGTGGGTACGAAGTTAGGGTGGGACAATTTTCGAAGGTTTCCAAATTTTATTGGATAACCCACCCACCTTCCCTTGAACCGGGAGTGCTACAAGTGAAATAAAGTTACTTCCAGATCGGTAAGATCAGATTGAAGTATTTGACCTTCAGTTTTATTAAGACCCTGTTTGTTGTTTGTGACCAACTGATCAGTTTCAGTAAAGAGTAAACACATAACAGGGCAGAAACAACATCTGAGAATAAATAAAACTGGAAGGTCCCGGTGAGAAAACACTGGTGAAAATATTGTTTGGTTGTTTGTTTAAAAATTCACAAGTCTTTTGGCAAGTTGTCAGCACGGAGATCGCTGTCATCATTACTTACGCGGAGGTGAGAGATACGCAGGACGCGGAGAGGTATTGCAAGTCTATCTGAGAGAGGTACGCAAGAGGAGAGGCTATATACAGACCAGGCCTTAGGGAAGGCCTTGTTTAGTACACCAGAGAGAAAGTCTTGTCTGCACGCAGAAACGCCCTTCTCCTGTTAAGTACTAAAGTCTGTATATATACCGAAACCCCCTTTGCGCGTAATAGGTATCATAGACTTGCAGGGGAGCGCCTCCAAAGGTCCGCTCGCAATTCTTTCAAAAACATCTCTCACTTGCTCGCAAATCAAACGCACGTCGAAAAACAAAACTTCGCCAAAAAACCAAAAAGTGCACATGCCGACATGTTGAACTCAGATTAACAAGTGACAGCTGCACAAGTGGAAACAACCGGAAAAATTCAAGACTGCACTGAAAAATGAAAACACTGTGGATTCAGGAAAGATGATACGCTCGGACAAGCTCTGTTCTTTTTCTGCTGGCTTGCTTAGCAAGGAGTCCGGGGTAAATTCGAAATGGTAGTTTGGCACGAGGTTTGCATCCATCTGGAAAAACGCAGGTTTTCTCAAATATCGACCATTCTGGTTACGACTTCTGTTGTGTATACCAGCTGGTCACCGATTCACCCCCTTCCTTTTCTGACCAGCGGTAATTCCAAGCTGAGCTAGCAACTCTTCAGGGTGTTGAAACTCCAAACAGTGTTGTACGTCCAGCAGCGCCATGACTTCACTGGCATTATCCCTCGAAGGGGCGTCTGCTGGATTTGAATCGCTTGCAACCCTCTCTACCCAGCTGAAGGTAGGGAAGGAAAGTTCGAATGCATAAAAGGCTCTCACCAATTGTAGCATGGTGGGGCTATTGCTTAGCCCCTTGATCAAGGCAAACC